GAGTCCTTCCTTCTCATTAGGTGGCCAAAGTATTTGAGTTTCATCTGCAGTATCTTGCCTTCTAAAGAGCAGTCAGGGTTGATCTCCTCTAGGACTGACTGGTTTCATCAACTACCACACATTTAAAACACAATTATTGTATTGTTGATCAGGTATTTCCTTATTCTCTATTTTGGGTGTAAGTTGGAAACCACAAAATAGAGAATGAGGAAATACCAGGTAGAACATCTATATCATAGAAATTCTATTGGAATAACACCCATACTGATATTAACTTAAGCCTTGACTTGACCACTCAATAGAAGTGTATCTGAGTGTGGATTGTCACTGAACTGTGGATTGTTTTGAAACATGGGTTGCTGTGATGTCTGAATTCAGCCATACTAATGAACCATGATTTGTTAACCATGAACAACCTACAGTTCACAACCCAAAACCAAACCATAGGTTCCCTTTATGGGTTGTTTGTGGTTAACAGACCATGATTTATCAGTATAGCTGGGTTTGGACAACTTAGCCCACATTTTAGCAATGAGCCATGGCCCAATGACAACCTGCATTCAACCCCTGAGTGTGGTTTACCATGTTGTCTGAATCCAGCCAGCATCAGCTCCCAATTTTTGAGGGACCTTGAGCAGGGCACCCTCAAGGGAGCCTGCTCTCTACCTCGTCACCAATTGCTGTTGCTCCTCATCCTCTTGAGTAAGGTACTGGCCTTATCTAGGAAGCTGCCTTATATGAAGCCAGATTATTATTACATTGCATATATATCGCACCTTGTTCCTCCTTACAAGGAACCCATGGCAGTTTACATAGCCCTCTTCTACTTCAATTTATCCTAGCCACATCAGAACTGTGAGGTGGGTTAGGCTGAGACTGAGTGATTGGCCCAAGATCATCCAGTGGGCTTCACAGCTGAAGCCAGATCTCCCAGGTCCCCACTCCAACAGTCCAACCAACAAACTACACTGGCTCTCAGTATGGTCTATCAAACTCAACACTGACCGGCAACAGGCCTCTAGATTTTCAGGCAGGAGATTCCTGCCATTGAACCAGAAACCGCTTTCATGCAAAGCAGGTGCTTTACCATGGAACTACAACCTCTCCCAGAACTTCAGTCCCAACGTCCTGCCCCAATGGCACCAGTATTGAACACTGCCTTCCCAACTGTATAAAAAGCAGATTATGGGAACTTGTGGCCCACAGACCAGTTGCAAACTACAAGGCTAATTCCCCAGGCACTTTCCTTGGCCCTGCCCACTCCAACTCCAAGGGCTGGTGATGTAGGAAATGAAAAGGGAGCTTGCTTTGTCCTCAGGTCCATCCACTGCAGCAGTGCAGCCCACAGCTCTCCTAGATTAGACCATTGCCTTCATGCTGGAAATGGTGTCCCAACCATGTATACATCTATCACTAGAATCCTTTCCTGCTTTGAATCAGGTATATTCTTCACAAACAGATTGTTTTTAAGTAATTAAGGGCACACTCCTAGGATGTTGAGGTAGACAATTGAACCCTAAACTGTGAAGTCACCAACAAGAACTATTTATGCATCAGGTCAGTACAAGCTCATTGCTTATATTATTTATTTATTTAAGGTTTTTATAAACCATCCATCTACTGGCTTCTCTCAATATGTGTGTGCGTAGTGGCTGACCACACAGATGAAAATGTAAATTTATCCTGAACTACTTGATTGTATGCATTTTTAATCTGAAGAAAGCACTACTAAGTTTGGCAGCATATTACCAATTATGCATGCTTTAGACCACAGTTCTAAGCGGTACAAATGGCAGTCTATATTTTCTATCACATTTTATTTGAGGACACATGTAGCAGCCTCCATTTTAACTGCAGTATGATCCTGCTTTAAGGAATAAGATCTGTCCTTACAACTAAGAAGTGTGCACTGATGGAGACTTTAGACACACACACACCCTTTAATTTTGTATGGAAAACACATTGGAACATTTTAACAAAACAAGCAGAACAAAAAAAAATGCAGAACATGTAATAAAATAAGGTGATGCCAAAGACTGAACTTTGGACCTTACAGGTACAAACTCTGTGCTCTATGACCAAGCAAGTGCCCCTTCCTATAGGCATCGTGCGAGTGCCAGACCTCATAAGGCACTCACGCCCAGCAACCTCCAACAGTTCTGACTGCAGAGTACTGAAGTTGGTTGCTAGTCCACAGTTCCTTACTTGCTTCCGGCCAAAGGCACTGCGCAGGCACAGTACCCATATGTGTGATGCACAGAGGCCATGACGAAGAAGTGCCCCTTCCTATAGGCATCGTGTGAGTGCCAGACCTCATAAGGCACTCACTCCCAACAACCTCAAACAGTTCTGACCGCAGAGTACTGAAGTTGGTTGCTAGTCCACAGTTCCTTATTTGCTTGAAGGTTTGAAAATAATTCAATCAGTCACATTGACAAACCTTTTCATCCCAGTTCCTTACTCTTTGCTATATACATTTTCTATCACTGGCATTGTGCATCTGTGTGTGGGGGGGGGGGGCATGCTTGATTGGGTCCTGCACCTAACAAAGCCTTGAGCTCCATATGATACTATAACAGCTCATAAAGGTCACTCTCCTGCACATTTGGGTGTCTGGGATGGAACAAATTGAGCATTGCCCCAAAATGACAGTTTTGATTTTAGATTATTGAAAATCTCACAGGAGGCAGTCCCTCTGCCATGGGAGCATATAACAAGAGTAGAGAGTTTTTTTATTTTGAAATGCAAAGGTACTTTAAACTTAAGTATTTTTTAAATTAAGTTTACTGACTGAACTCTTGTTCTGATTGTTTATGGTAATAAACTTGAAACTAGTAACCAACTTCAATATTGCCCTTTAGTTTCTACCAGCATCAAAATTTTTGAAATATATCTTACAGGTGAAACGTACTAATTGGATCATGAAAGAAGGGGAATTCCTTTTCCTCCAATTTTTTTAAAAAAATTAAGTTTCCCATAAAGTCACAAGCTTCAGTAGAGAAGATTGGTTTACGGATATCAATTCTGCTACTGCCTATTCCAAATAGCAATTAACTAGAAGAAAAGGGCAAGCATCCGAGGGCCAAACAAGGCCCATTTCTCCGTGGTAAGCAGAAAATCTGCCGGGAAGCGTTTCTCGGTTACAGGAAAAGTGAAAGCTTTGCCTGCAGTTTGCTGTCTCACGCAGTTGTTCAAGGCGCAAAAGCCCCGCCGTTAGAGCGGAAAAAAGTTGGCGATCCTAATGTACAGCGAGGCGATCTTATTTAAACTTGTTCGCACTCATGTCTAAATGAGATCTAAACATCTCATAAATAAAAGGAGTTGCTTACCTAGCGGCGATGCTTTTTCAGCTTCCTTGTAAGCATTTCCTGGTTCTTGAGTTACAAGAAGTGAAAGTTGCGCTGGATTCCAGAAGGGGCCGCCCTATTCTCGTGTCTGCACTAAAGCAAAGCCGCCCCAATCAAGATCGGGTATCACTTCCTGCTGTGATCCAAAGTTCATTGTCAGATGCACTCGCCTTAGTAATATGTCTGAACGTTTGGCAAGTCATTAAAAAGACAGATTGAACACCTTGTTTCACCTTAAAATAGCAGCTGTGTCTATATTTTTAATGGGGAATTTCGCCCTATTATTTAAATAAAATAGTTCACTACTTCCAGGTGCATCTAACAAAACTTGCCTACAAAACCTCATGCCAACAATTTGAAGCATTAGGCAGTACAGAATCCTTTGTTGTTCTGGCAGGCAGTTATTCTCATTTCAGAAGGCCATGAGGAGCTCTGAGGACCAAGCCACGTTGCTAGCAGACCTTTTTTTCATTGATTACATTTCTGTACCACAGTTACAACGTTCTGCAGGTGTGTTTTATTTATTTAATACCGAAGGGCGGGGGTCAATCTTAAACCGCTGCCTAAAGACCCTCTGTAGTTGGCCAACAGAAATTAAGACTAACCATCCACTCTACAGAGCAAAAGTTAAACAAAACGCCATGATGATGTTTAAAATATGTTTATTACCACATTAAACATATGTAACAATTTTCCTTCTCAACGTTATCATTCTAAGTAGCAGCTACAGCTACTTCAACACCTGCTCCCTATTCGCTTTGCCTCAGAGACAAGAGACTTAGCCCCGCCCTTTAACTGACTCCACTGTAAGCGGAACGACGCCTATGTAACGTCCTTTTCTTTCCGCAGAGCTTCTCGGGAATTGTAGTGTGTAGGGAAACTCTTCCCCTATCGTAGAGCGAAGATCCGTAGGCCAACGAACTACATCTCCCAGAAGGCATCGCGACCAGAATAGGTCAGCCTGTGGCGCTGGGAGCTCGGAGTACGGCGGCAGGTTTGTAAAGAGCCTGGCGACTGTCTTCCTGTAGAGGGGGTTGAAAGTTATTTAGGTGAGTGAGGGGAACCAGGGTTGTTGTCTACATGGGGATGTTGTATAGAGGGTGTTGATGGGACGTACTTAGTAGCTGTTATATTCATCCAAGGAATATGAAGATTTTCTTTCGATGGGGTTGGAAATTGTCAGAGTGGGTGCAGTTGCCTCCTTATTCGGACTTCACCTTTAGCTCTGACCTAGAAAAGCTGCAGGGTGCAAAAGCTAAAATTTTAGCTTTTAAAGGTGTACTCTGAATGGTTGAACTTAAAAAAAAAACTCCTGTAGTTCCCAGCTGGGGAATACGTACTGAGACTTGTAAGACTTTTTTCTATCTAAACGTGTAGGATTGCACCTTTAATGTGTATTTTAATGTATATTTCTTCGTCTTGAGTTTTTCTACTGTCTTTCCCCCCTATAGAATTTCTTTGTGTATACATGTTTTAGGCACTGCTGTCTTTTTTAAAAGGATAAAGAGTGAGAGAGGACAATGAAAGAATTTTTAAAAATTAATTACATTTCTGTACTACCCAGTAACAAAATTTTTGGTCACTTTAGAAAAATCAGAAGCCTGAACATCATGTGAAATGTTTAAGAGTTTAAAACTGAGCAAAACCTTTGAAAAAGCCAACTGCATTGTAAAGATAAAAATGCAATAACAAGCATTTTTAAAAATCAAAACAATACTGAGGGAGAAATCCCATGGTTTATAAGATACTTTGGATCCCCAGGTATTGCTCAGACCCTGGAAAAGGGAAACTGCAATCTGTTCCCTCTCACAAACTGTCACAGCCTATACAGGGTTTGGATAGGATATGGCTATCCTGTCTGCAGGCTGCCCCTTCTGCAATTACAAAACACCTTCATTTGATGGGCAGAAAAGCTTATCTCATGCAAATGTGTGGCAAGAAGGCAAAGAGAAGATCTCCTCTGCTGCTCCCCTCACCCTGCATAGGATAAGCCTCTGAGTTTAGGGCCTTACAATAATTGCAATAGGATTGTGCTCTGGGGGATTAAAAAGCCTGGGAAAATTTTTAAGAATCTGCCTGGCATTGAAAAGATCACAGCTAGGTGCCAGGAAAGCTGCTGTGGGAGATCATTCCACAATCAGGTTGTCACCACTTAAAAATTCCTCTCCTTGGTAACTTCTTGTCACTTTGTGGGGATAGCCTCTTGAAGCTGGCCAATAAGTCTGCTTAATTCTACTTAAATTGGTTTTAGACCTAGTTAATTTCTGGCCTGACCGAAAAACATGGCATCAGGGAATGGGATGCATCCATAGCCTACTTTTTATCTCATATAACATGACTAAAGGATCAGGTTATATATGTATCAGTCCTAAGCAGACTCTGTTTACATAGAATGCTAGAATGGGTTTATTCATTAGATGACATTTTTAAAATTATACAGGGTATGAAAGTCAGATACCAAATCTCTGGAGCTGTGCCAAGGATATAGATTCTTCAGTACCAGACTACAATAACTTCCAGATGGCTACCTCAGCAGACTTGAATTGGGAAGAAAACTTGATGGCCCACTGGATGGCTAACTCTTCCCGTGCCGGAGTCATACTAAATCCTGCTTTCCCTACTTTAAAAGCAGCTAGAGCTATTGGTATTGAAAATACCTTATCTAGCTCATTACACAGCTCAAGCAGCACTTCCCTAAGTGAAGACTCTCTACCTAGTGGTCAGGCTAGTGGTCAAGCCTTGGACCTTAGCAGCCCTTGTGCGGAAAAATCGGACACATCTAAAGGGCTTTTTCTGCCTTCATTGGCTAAGAAAGAGCAAGTTCTCCTGGGTAAGGATGCTGCAGCCCAGCGGAAAGCCCAGCAAACTGATGTGGAGTGTGATAAATGCCACAATCTGGATGAAGATTGTAATACTGAACTACTTCTGCAGAAGCTTGAGCAGGTAAAACACAAACCCTTGCCTTCATTTACTGTACTTTTTATTCTGTCTAGGGAAAAAAATGTCAAGGCAGGCTGATATAGTTTGTCACAGAATGGGCTGACCTTGGGACTCTTAACTGTATATGGTGACATATTGGGGGTTTCATAGCCATTCTTTTTTCACTTCCTGCATGGACTTCAGAAAACACAGTGCTTTATTTGTCAAGCATCTTGTAGGTCACAATATTCTATGTGGGAGTTGCAAGTTGTTCAAGCTTGTCAAAGAGTCCATCATTCCCTGTCACAAGGAACTTGGTTAGTTGAGTGTCTCTAAGTTTGGAAGTGAAATAGGACCACACTAAAATAAGGGATTACTTTGTACATACTTGGGAGACTCATTAGATGCTCAGAAGTATATATGCTTGTAAATTAATAATTAAAGAAAAAACAAAAGAAGTGCAGAAAGTTGATGTTTGAGTTGCAGGAAGAAACTGGAGTGGGAGAGAAGGGAGTTGGTCTGCTGCATTTCCTAACAGCTTAGAATAAATGTCCAGGAGGTCCAAATTTTTTAAAACTTGAGGAACTTTTCTTGCTTTCCAAGCACCATTCCAAACAAGGCTATCACTTCTGACTTATTTTGTGTTGGCAGAAGGAGGTGAAGTAGAGAATAAATACAGTTCACAGTATCCCCTGTTTGTGTGTCTGCCTTCTACCCTACCTTATAATATATTGCTGCCATGACCAACAAGGCTGTATTATTAAGCATGCTCACAACTTTAAATGTCTACAGGTTTAATCACCTCATTGAGAAGTTCCTCTTATTTACAGATCTTGATGCTGTGTATGTCATATAACAAAGTATTATTATGTATGGCAATAATTATTACCTATGGTCAATACAAATACATTGCATCAGATGTGATTATTTAGATGTGTGTATTTCACTCTTATTGTTAAAGTATTATGCCAAATTCAGAAGAAGAGTGCATGCTTCTGCGCTGACAATCAGTTGTTGGATTAAAAACTGCATGTGCAGTCTGGATCATTATGTATATCTGCAGTGCAGTGTATAACCAGATATATGAGACATTCACTAAAGATCCCATTCATAAGACATTATTTTATTGTGGGTGTGTATTTTTATCCATTTTATAATGCAGGTAGGAAAATTAATTTCTTCTGTTGCCTGAAATTATGCATCACTGTTCATGGATTGAGGCCAGTGGAGTAGTGAGGGCATAACATCTCTTCCAGCTGTTATGTCAGTATTTAGTAATGAAAGCATTGGCAAGCACAGCTTGCCCTGTTCAAAGGCTTCTTGTAGTCTGAAACTGGCAGCTACAGAATTAGTATTCATGTGTTCTCCTGCTATATTGGAACAGTATGAAGGCAGCAGCTAGGTGTACTCCTTGGTAAGGATACCTGCATGAGGTAATGTAATTTTAATTGGAAGAAGTTACAAAACTGGTAGGCTTTTCAGCTTTGGTTGTTGCTAAATTTGGGTATGAACTTCTGTATGACACCAGAATGGATTTTGGTTGCCGTCCTGCAAATATAAGTCCTAACTAGTCTCCATTTTTTAAAAAATCTGGCTATTTAGAATAGGCTTCTATGAAAATATAAGTGTTGAAATGTATGCTGATTGTTCTGCAGACTATTTTTTCTTACTGTATTATGCAGTATAGTTTCTGTAACATATTTTAAGAATATGCATGATTTCTTATGCTGAAAAAGCTCAAAGGTTTGCAACAATACAAGCAGGAGCAGCTGAGGAGACAACAAATGGGGCAAATTCAGAGGTTACTGGAAGAGCAACAGAAACTCCTTTCCATGGTCTCTGAGCAGCAAGTGCACACTGGTGAGTGGAGATGAAAAGTATGCACCTTTAAAAATATATTATGGTAAACTAGGCAGGGAATAATTTTACTGCAGGCTTTTATTGTACATTTATTTGTTAGATTTTTATCCTGCCTCATTAGCCATATGGCTAAAATTATACAATCAAATAATTAAAAGAAACAAAAGTTACAGAGATTGCTCAGATAATCATCAGAAATTCTTGCATTACATTTAGAAGTGGTGACACATGCTGTTTTCCAGTAGGAATTGTCTCTTGATGTCATTTGAATGCCCAACTTCTGATTCAACCAACACTTGGAGAAATAGCTCCTCCAAGAGCTGGCCCCTTGCCTTTGAATGTTACTCACCAGCTCAGTCAGCATGGATCTCAAAAGAGGTATATGACTCAGCCAACACATGAAGGAATTGTTCTTCCAAGCAATGACTCATTCTCTCATTCCATGTAGGGAGGGGCACAGAGAAAAAAATGGTGAAATTAGAGCATAAGAAAAGCCATGCTAAACCAGACCAAAGATCCATCTTGTCCTGCTCTCCATATGCACAGCTGCCCACAGGATCCCTCAAGCAGAATTAGTACAAGACCTCCTCCCGGGCAAGTTCCTCAGCAGCTGGTATATGCAGGCATGCCGCCCCTGCTAAAGGAGGTAGCACGTAGCCAGCAAGGTCTCAGACTCCTTTCCAGAATACATAAGCTTGGGAACAGGTATCTGCTCTTCATCCTCTTCTGTGTGGGGGGAAAAAAACAATTCAGCTTCTCAGCAATTTCCTTGTCCTCCCCTTAGTTTTCCTTTAATTCCATTATTGTCCAAAGGCCCAACCATAAACAGTTTATATCCAGAGATGACCATATCCCATTGGTTATCTCTGCTCCACCAGGTTTTTGCAATGCCCACGATATCTAGCTTTTCCTTTATCAGCAGGTACTCTAGGTCTCCCATTTGTCCCTAAGGCTCTAGAATGTGTCCCCTGCCAGGTGCATGCAACATTAATTCTGACACTGAGTCCTCTTCAGTTGGTTATCACGGCTTACCGTAATCTTGCTAAATGTGTGTGCAAGATGCTAGAAGGGACTTCAGGGTGGAGCCCCACCCCACTAACTTCATCCATGGTCATCTGCCCCTGATTTAAAAGAAGATGGCACTTATGCATAAACAGTGCTTACAGCTACTTCATATCGGAGCTGCTAAGACTTCAGTCTGCCATGTTGTTGGTTGCGAAGTCAGGTCCAACCGATTGTGACCACATGGACAACATTCCTCCAGGCCTTCCTGTCCTCCACCATCCCCCCGAAATCCACTTAAGCTCACACCAACTGCTTCAGTGACTCCATCTTGCCACCTCATCCTCTGCCGTCCCCTTCTTCTTTTGCCATCTATTGTTCCCAGCATTAGGCTCTTCTCCAGGGAGCCCTTCCTTCTCGTTAGGTGGCCAAAGTATTTGAGTTTCATCTCCAGGATCTGGCCTTCTAAAGAGCTGTCAGGGTTGACCTCCTCTAGCACTGACTGGTTTTATCGCCTTGCGGTCCAAGAGACTTGCAGGAGTCTCCTCCAGCACCACAATTCAAAGGCCTCAATCCTTTGGTGCTCAACCTTCCTTATGGTCCAGCTTTCACAGCCACAGTCTGTCTGCCATACACAGTCCGTATTTCACAGTCCGCCATACTTACACGCAACTTGTTCTGGCAATCAGAATGTTTTAATTTGCATTTTAAAGTAAACTAAAACTGCAAAGTAAGGTAAACAATGAAAATACTATAACCGTGACCCACAAGACATCCCTTCCCATCCATCTTCTGTTGCTGTACTGATGGTTCTAAACCATTGCCAAATATACAGACTTTTCTTGATGAATTCTAAAGAGCTCGTACGTGGCAGAGTGCATAAGGGCAAGAAAAACTGTTTGGTATTGTGTTTTAATTTAAAGGTTTTCTTATGAGAGAAGATGACATGAAACAAAGATATGCTCAGCCAACTCACTTGTCCCCTGTATCTCAACTTCCACCATCTTGCCACGGACACAGTTTTCACTGGGATAGTGTGCCTCATATTCCTTCTTCAATTGCCCAAAAGGATTCTCTACCAAAGTTCAGCAACAGCCAAATATTGAAGGGAAATGTCTCTGCAGACCATTTTAGTGACAAGCAGTCTGTAGACAGGCCTTTCAAAGTGCAGAATGGAATGAAGGCAGATGACCCAAAGTCCATTTCTGGTAAAGCAAGCTTCCTTCTTAGCGAAGATGGGTGTCTCTGTTATTAATACTTACCAATATTTCACAGATTTACTGTAAGAATTATTGAGCTAATATGTGTGTGGGAGAGGTCTAGAAATGTGTTCACTGCATTTGGATGTTCTAGTGAAATCCCAGCCCTTCTGAGTTTGAAAATGTGCGTGGTAATCTTATAGTCATTTCATAGGAATTCCACTGACTTAGCCTAGGATCTTCTTGGATATTTTTACTTAATTTCACATGTGTTCAGAGCACCTTCAGAGCAATGGAACAGATAAGGAACTCACCTCTCACTGTCAGCTGAGCAATTATTTTGGCTACCTGTTGAGGCCACTCAAAGCATAAACAGTTTTGTTCTATGCTGCTTTTCAGCCAAACATTTCCTAAAGATGTTTTCTGTTCCTCAGTGATGGTGGTGGTAGCGATAAAACTAAACTCATTCAGCCCAGGAGATCCAAGATCTTAACAGAGATCTTTTACCTCTCTCTTCCCCACCACTCCTAATACACAATACAAGTAGTACCATGGATCCGGAAGAAGTCCCTGCATGCCTCCCATATTCCTGGTGGGAAACTAGTAGAGCCTGCAGCTTGCTTGAGCCCTGTCAGGCCTTGTAACACAACTAGATTGTGCCTGTGACATTTTTAAACACTGCATTTTAGGTGTGTAAAACATTTTGCATATGTGAGTCCAGAAATTTCTTCCAACAGTCCTGTAAAGTGAATATTGTCCATGGGATGGGGGTGAGGTGAGCTGAAGTTGAGGGAATCAACAGCTTGCCTAATTAAAGCATAAACTACTCCAAATTCTTACACTTGGTTAAGGGGTAAAATACCTGGGAAATGCTACTTAGGAAAGCACTGGTTTTATTTTATTTTTTTTACAGGAGGAAATAGTCAATCTCCAGAGCAAACTATACTGGGGCATGTAGATGATGCAATTAGCTGTGAAGACACAGAGAACATAGAGACCTCTGGATGTTTGTCAGGAGAGAAATGCTTGGGGATTCTTAATACAGAGGAAAGGTGGGTCCTTTGCATATAGAATAGTCTTGAATGTGTATGTGTGGGTGAGTTATTTTTGTATACAGTGTTATAGACATATGTCCATTCAGAAGTAAGTTTAAGTGCAGTGGAATTTCCTCCCAGGTAACTCTGTGTAGGACTAAAGCCCAGAGCAGGAATGGACAGTGTGAACACTAAAACACCCCTAGACACATTTCTTGGCACTCACCAAGATGCCTCCCCCCCCCCCCCCCCCACTGCCTAACGTGATGCCAGTGACCACTTTTTTTTTTGACATTCTGCAGTTAGAAATGAGGTTTTACATACTTAGAGCCCCTGAATCTGCTTTTTCCCTTGCTTATCATGCTTTTCTTTTGCCATTATCTTATTTTTCTACCACCATGGGGCAGGGGAGGGAGAGCGGATTCAAGGGGAACCAAAGCTTTTGCTCTGGTTGTTGAACTTGTGTGACATGTAGGTTCCCTTGGACCCCATAATGGCCTGGCCTACCTTTGGTTTCCCATCCTGACCTGGTGCCTTCTCTCAGAAAAGTGTTTGGGAGCTAGAATGTCTAACCTCCCATAATTCCCAAGGAACCGGTGTTCTAGTCCCAAAGACTTAACTCCTGGAACATAACTGACCCTGAAATTCAGCCCCCATTCTACCTCTTTAGTGTTGTAATAAGTGGTACTTGTACTGTCTCTAACTTGATGCACAATGACAAAACTTTTCTTCCTGTATAGCAAGGAAAAGTTCTTCTCTCCAATCAGCTGGTCAGTGGCTCAGTTCTGCTTACCTCTGAGTAGACTTACAAGCAATGGTGATCACAGTTTTGTCCTACCCTCCTTTTGCTCACATCTGCATTGCCTTTGGCCTGGCAACAGATGGAATGTGACCTGTAAGACCTTACCTTGATTGGAATTCTGCCCTCAGGCGTAGAAAGGTTCCCCACCCCTGGACTGGACAAATTCATGGAGGATAGTCTATCAATGGTTACTAGATGCATGGCTATATGCTGCCTCCAGGATCAGAGGCCTCTGAACACCAGTTGCTGTGAGTAACAGTGAGAAAGGGCCATTGCTTTTATAAGCCACTATTTGTACAATAGTGATTCTGTTGTAAGCTGCCTAGAGAATCCTTATGGACTAGTGGGCAGCATATAAATTGAAAAATAAATTACTTTTGAGCTTTCCATGGGTATCTGCTTGACCATTGTGGGAAAAGAAGGCTTCACTAGGTGGGCCAGCAGAGCTCTTCCATGTACAAGACTCAATTATTTGCGTATCTGTATTATAGGAAAGTGTTTGGGTTTATAGATTCCGACACTGGAAGTTTGAAACTGCAATAAAATAATTCTGCAGTTATGAAAGCATTTATTTTATTGTGTTTTACAAGATTTGACAGTGAAATCTGTGTCCCTTCAAACAGACCTATCCCTGCTACCATTCAAGAGAGAACACAGACATTTGAAGAATTTTTGGAAGAGCAGATACAACTGGAAGAGCAGCGACTGAGCCAAAAAGACGTAAAGGTTAATAATTAGAGCTTCTATTTGGCAGAGTTTTCAGAATCTGTTCCATCATGGGAGGATAAGTCCCTGCTTTAGTTATGGTGTTCTCACTTCTGTGGATTCAATACAAAAAATATTTTTAGAAACCTGAAATTCTTAAACAGTATTTTGATGGTATATGATGCTAAAGCAAAGCATAAAGTATATAGATATTTGAAGATTGACATTTTTTTTTTAAACTTTTAGGATGCTGGAAAACCAACTTTCCAGAAACCAGTTACAAAGAAACCCTTTCTGAAGCGAGGTGAAGGTTTAGCTAGGTTTACCAATCCCAAATCTAAAGTTTCTAAACAAAAAGAAAGCAAAGTAGCCCTTCATCCCGATGCCTCAGAAGTAAAAAATGCAGTTAAAGCAGAGAAACCGCAGCTTAATCGGAAAATGGCCCTTTCAAATAAAGATTACATTTCTGACAATTTTGTGTCTAAAAATGGTAATCAAAACACTAAAACAAAGAAGGCTTGTGTTCTTCCTGCTCGGAAAACAACAGTGCTCAGGAATTGCACTGGGAAAGGTACCCCTTTCTCCACAAAACAAAACCCCAGTGAAAGAAAACCTGGAGAACTGAAAAATTCTATCAGATCAGGAACAAGTGGCGGTAGAGAAAAGAATAAAGAAAATTTAATGGCACTTTCAAAGCTGGATGAAATTGACACCAAATTGCCAGAACAAAAATATGAGCAACCAACAGAACTGAACAAATGTCTGAGAAACTCATCTGAAAAAGATTCAGAACTTTCTTTTGAGGTTTCTTTTCAGAAGAAGTTGGAAAACTGGGAAACGGAAAAGGAAAAAGAAAAAAATGAATTGGATGAATTTTTGTTTCTAGAACAGGTTGCTGATGAAATATCTTTTGCTAGCAATTCCTCACTTGTAATTACGATCTTGGACCAAGGCCAGCAAATATCCACAGGGCGCAGGCTGTCTTCTACTCCTGTCAAATCAAGGCACAGGCAAAATGATGTGCTAGATATTACTGAAGTGAACAGCAGAAATGGAGAGCAGTGCATTTCCCAAGAAGCTAACAATGAAAGGGACAGTAGCACAGCCATTGCTACTCAGGCACCTGGGGTGCTGAAGGATAATCAAAATAAGACCATTATTAAAATGCTTCCTGCTATTCCCACTGCTGAGTTTCAAGATTTTGGAAATACTGAGTGGGATGAAGATAAATCCAATGAAAGCAGTGATACGACTTCTGATGAAGAATTTGAGATTACCATAAAGCCTGTCAGTGAGAGAGCTCAAAAGCTTGCTTTGAATACTAAGGGTGGCAGTCCTGAAGGACAGGTAAAGGGCAGAAGCAGAGAAGCCAGTCCCGGTTTACTAGACAGAGATTTTAGCAGCAACCTTCCCAGTGAGATGAGCAAGCCTGCTCTGTCTCCAGGTGTGTCCTGTGCAAACGAGAGTCAAGTTGATTTTGATGATGAAACATCCTGGTCTGATTTTGAAGAGAATGAAAGTCAACGTACCCAAGTTCCAAACACTGAAGGAGTTAATCAAGTGCTTCTCTCCCCTGACTGTTCTGGCAAGAGTGAGACATTCTGCCCAGATAAAGTGATAAAAAGGAAGGTTGCCTTGATGAAGAAAGGGGATGCAACGCCTAAGCAAAGTGTGACCGATACTGAGGAAGCCACTCCCCCTGTAGCAGATCTGATGCTGAAGTTTTTTCCTTCTCTGAGGCCCAAGGAAAAGTCAGATGCACCACAAAGACAAGAAGCCAAACCCAGTAGGGCTCAGGAGGAATTGGGAGGTAAGCAACAAGAGAAGCCACTACTGTGCATAACAGTCAGACTCTTAAGTCTCAGGAGTACCTGTCCTTAAAGCCTCTATCTCCCTTGTATTCTCAAGAAAGAATACCAGAATTGTGTGCAGTGCCATGCAGTCTGTCCCAGGTGTTACAGTGTCTTGGGCCAGTCCTGTTGCCAGCATGTCAAGCACTGTATAAGCCAGCATTGATGCTCAAAGGTGTATTCAGAAGGTCCCAGCTTCATTCCCCAGGTGGAAGGATCAGGAGGCTATGCTGCCTGAGATCCTTGAGAAGCAATGTCTTTCAGGGGTAAATAGTTGTGGGCTAGATGAATACAAGGCAGTCCTCTTGTGTTGGCTCCCTTCATTGTACAAAAGCTGCATTATTGCAAGTGCCATTTTGGTTTGATATTGCTGTACTATATGTGTAATGGCTTGTATTTCATTTAGAATCTGAAAAAAATCAGGCTTCTAAATTAGGCATAGTCCCTATGCAATCTTTCCTTCAGAGGCTAGCCCTCCAATTCACAGATGGTGGCTGTGTGCAGGGGGAGGGAGGGAGGCGATGGAGGAAAGTCAATGTCCTCATCCTTGCTCTCCCCTTTGTATGTTAATTCTGCATAGAAGTGGAATGCCTGAAAAGGGTTTGTGTTGGAACTTAAGTGAGAAGCATTTTGGAAGCACCATATAGAATGGATCTCTGCTGAAGGAGGCATACTGTATGCCAAAGTCCTTGTTTACTCGTGACTTCCAGTATGGACCATGCTTTCTACAAGGCAGTAGGTTGCACTGTAGCATCAACTATAACTATGGGCCATACATTGCAAACTGAATTTCATACATACATGCTCGTGGTCAGTGTGTGCTGGGGTATACTTGCAATATATAGCTTGCAAGCATGTAAATTTCCCAAAGGTGCATCTTGTGCAGACAGTTAATAATTTTAAAACAACAGTATTCTATTCTTTATGGCCCATGAAATCATAGAATAGTTGAATTGGAAGGGGCCAAGAAGGCCATCAGTCCAACTCCCTGCTCAGTGCAGTTAAACTATCCAGTTAATCCATCCCTCTCAGGTGGCTGTCCAGTTACATCTTGAATGCCTCCAGTGTAGGAGAGCCCATAATCTCCCTAGATAACTGGTTCCATCGCCCTCTTGCTGTAACAGTGAGAAATTCTTCCTGATGTTCATCCAGAACCTGACTTCCTGTCATTCCATGTCCTGCATTCTGGAATAATCAAGATCCTGGCCTTTGTCTTTGCTTATCATATTTCCCTTCAGTCTTTTTGAGGATAAACATGTCCAGTTTTCTGAATCACACCTCATAGGCCTTTGTTTCCCTCTGAACCCTTTCCAAATTCTCAAATATTTTAAAAATGACACAAATGTAAAGTGACTGTTATGATTTTTCTCTGTATTGAAGATTTTAGATAAATTGCTAACTGAGATATGCAGTTTTTTTTTTGGAAACATTTTGCATTTCAGTCTGCTTCCTATTAATCACAATTTGGGTTCATTTTTTCAGTAGCTAATAATTCTTCTAATTCCACTACCCCCAAGATGAACCTCATGAATTTAATCCAGACTCCTGGGTAAAAAAAGAGGTATCATTGAATTAAAAAAATGCATCATTGAGTTTTTAAGTTTGGAGACAAGTTATGAAATTGGAGGTGTCTGGTAGAATATTATTACGCAACACAGAGGTGTCTGGTAGAATATTATTACGCAACACAGCAATGCATCAACATTTGAACATCAAGCTCTGTTTATGTGTTCCCTCTTAGGAGACACTGTTCGTTCCCAGCTCTTGAGAGAGAAACTTGTTGAATTGGAAACGGAAATTGAAAGATTCAGGGCAGAAAATGCATCCCTTATAAAACTTCGAGAAGAACGTGAGAATGCTTTGGAAAGTCTCAGGTAACTTTCTTCACCTATCTATCTGAGATCTAGTCCTTGATTCTGAAGTTGACTCAGGAGCAGATCTACACAAGCTGTGAATCAGCAGCCATGTCTAGTTCTCAGGGGTGGGGAGGGAAGAGGGTCTCCAATTTAGGGTAACTATGACTTAGAAGGGGGACCCAAGACACCCCAGAAATTATCTTCTGGAGGGTAGTACAGGCTTCCCCGTGAGTTGAGTGTTCTAGGAACCCATCTGCATCAGGGTACCCAGCTGGGTTGTTGTGACAGGCTGCATCCAGCTTCAGTGAGAACTGTTGTTGCTGCTGTTGTTTTTGGAGACTCTTCAACGTGTTTGCCTGTTTTGTGATGGCTGATTTACATGAACATGTGCAGTGGTGAAGTTTTGTTCAGCTGAGGGTGCAGCAGTTTTGATCAAAAATGGCATGGCCATTATGCCCCATCTTCTGTATTCATTCACTCTTGCCCTGTGTGACTTTTTTTTGTTTCCCTGAATGAAAAAAGTCCTCAAAGGGAAACGTTTTGCCAGTGTGGAAGAGGTGAAACAAAAAACAGCAGAAGCACTAAAAGGCATCAAACCCGACATGTTCAAAACCTGTTTTGAGCAGTGGAAAAAACATCTCAGTAGGTGTGTTGCATCAAATGGAGAATATTTTGAAGGTGACTAAGTTTGAACATGTAAAAATACATATTTTTTAATAAATGAATTCCTGTTTTTTGGGGGGGCCCTCCTCATATTGGTTTTCCAAGCTAATTTACTGCATGTTGTGTTGTTGAACAACATCCCCAAATTCTTTGAAGGGGAGAGATTTATTATAGCTAACAGCCAAAACATGTCTTTGGCAAATGATTCAGTTCCTGTTAACAGTATAATACATCTGTTCTAACAGACTTTCCCAAGTATTTGGAGTTTAATTTCATAGCTAAAGTGGGATTAAGGTATGCATACAGGTACTTTTACTAAGCCATAATAATGTTTCTTGGCAACCAAGAAACACTTTGGGTAGTTTCTAAATATATCCTTGGTCCGTGTTTGGACTATTTTGATGTGTAAAGATGAGAAAAAATGGCCAAAATCTCTTTGAAGGAACTGAGGTGTCTAATAGTACCAATCAGAGTGGATTTGATGAATTTCTTTTTAAAATATAAACCTGGTTCACATAATCATAAAAAGGGCTTTTTTTCCTTGCAGCATGGATTTACACAATTACCCTTGCTGGAATGTTTTGCCATGACCTGTGAATTCAGCCAGGATGGTTGATTGCCATGTTTTAACAGGTATCCAGAAACTGGGTGCACATTACACAGCAAACCATGTTGGTGAGGTTTAATTATGCAAATTCCTCTAGCATATGACTGCTGTGCAAGACGCTGACTTGTACACACAGGCCTATAGTGTGTGGTTGCCATAATATAGTGAATTATGCGATCCCTTATTTGTGGGAGAGATACAATTCCTGTTACTTTTCTACTGTAAAATTTCAGGAAAGAAATTGCAGACTTTGAAAAACAAAAAACAAAAGAACTGGTTCAAATAGAAGAATTTAAAAAAGAAGAAACAAGAAAGCTGCAAAAAGAACGTAGAGTTTTTGAGAAGTATGCACAGGCTGCTAGAGCCATTCCAGATAAAAAAGAACGTGATGAAATTCAGGTATGAATACAGGAGAGAATCTGTCTGGTTACCTTTAATGAGAAGACTTGACAAGAGCAAAACACCAAATGCTAAATCAATGCATGCCAAATAGATAATAACTTCTACAGCTAGTTCATACTAATAAAATGAACAAAGCATGATCAATATGGAACCAAGGTGTTAAGTTCAAATTTGACATCATTTGTGTCCTGTGTCAGCTCTGTCTGTGTAGCTGCTGTGGCAATTTGGGTTTCTATGTTTTGGCTTTTCAATAATCTGGCAATGTTATACACAGGAATTTACCTGCTTCAGGAATCCACCTTCTTTTCTTTAAGTCTAAGCTACAACCACAGAGTAAAATTGCACTTGTTTATTCTGCAGCACCTGTTGTGTACTCTTGTTGAACTGTCTTGACAAATTCTTCCAAAGGAGATGTACTAGTACGTCAGTGGTTTTCTAAAGAGGTTCATTTTCTGCAGGGTGGAGGACAATGTCCCACAGTGAATGGATTTTTGAATGTCTGTCACTGTACTGGCCCTACTCAAGAGGAAGAAGGGCAAGTTGTGACAGATTTGTACTAAATACAGCCAAAATTCCTCCTCCAGTCCTAAAGTTTTCTGGATCAACAAAGGGATACAAGTCCATGACTTTTCATGTTCTGAAGCATGTGACTCTTATCCAACCAACTTGGGATAGGTCACTGTGGAATTACCCTGTAGGGTATTAATGTGATGCTTGTTTTTGGGAGCAGAGAGAGGCAGCCTGTTTAGAGATGTTACCCCTCTACTTTTCCTGTTGTTGTACTGGAATTCCACAGTGTGATCTGCATTATACCACTTTATGCAGTGTTGGAGAGGCTGTACCCCCTTCTGATCTTTCTCACAGACTTCCAATAAAGCTTGTTATTTCATCAATCTTCTTTCAAAATGGCTCTCTCTGGTAGCTTCTGACAAGTCCAATGTGTTCACTTTTGGCTCTTTCAAAATTTCCTGAACTGCTGCTCATTAAGGAGTGTTTATATTGGATGCATGTGCTTGCAGGACATACTGTTCATACAACAAACCTTTCCCATTTCTAAAAAATAAACCTGAACAAATAGAAATGCACTTTTCCGGAACAGACGGTGTCAGCAGGGCTTGCAGCAGGGAGCTCCACTGTCCTATCCTTACCCTAAAACAAGCATTTGCACTGGTTTCCAACTATTTCTTTAAGAAACCTTGTTGTGCAACAGAACCAGTAGAGGCAGAGCAGCTCCCTTGTGCTTCACAGGAATACAGTTAACATAAAACAAATGCACTGTCTCAGTCTTAACACAGAATGCAGTTGACTTTCATTTTATGGATTTTCAGTAAATGTCTTTTTTTTTTTTTTAAGTGTATGTGTGGTTTTTGTGGTTTGTGTGTTTTTGTATTTTATCCTGCCTGGAGAAGGTCTCACTCTGAAAGGCAGCCTAAACTATTTTTAAATAAATTAATTAAAAAATCTGATTCCTCTACCTTGGGAAGAGATCTGTTCTTTTCTCTTCAGTTTGTTTTATAATGTAGAGAAAATGACTAGTATGTACCTTAATTTCTTAAGGCCTTGAAACAGCAAATGGCAACCTTGCAGGAAGATTTAAAAAGAAGAGAAACAAAATGGTCAGCCACCCACTCTCGTCTTAGAGACCAAATAGAGACTTTAACCAGTGAGAATATGCAACTACGAGAAGAGATCAAAATTATGGAAAGATTTCGCTTGGAGGCTTGGAAAAGAAAAGAAACATCTACAAACAAGAAAACAGATGGTTCTGGTTCTTCAAAAAAGGCTGAAGTTACCGTAAGATTCTTTGCTTTGGAAAGAGAATATTGTTATGGTGACTAGTCACACACTAAGATTAGGGAGACCCTCAGTAAGCCATGAAGCGCTCTCTGGGTAAAGCATCACCTCTCAACCCAACCTACCTGATAGGATTGTTGTGATAATGAAAGGGTGTAAGTAGATAAGAGCATGAAAACCACTCTGAGCTCTTTGGAAAAAAAGTGGGATTTAAATTGGTATTTTTTCCATGTAAGCCATATTCATCTAGAGAACAAAGAAGCTGTATTTCAGATGGTTCAGATGTGGTAAAAACATGAAATCTGCCTTTAGTAAGAGATGAAAAAAATGGTTTCCCAGTCATGCAGGAATCGTTCTGCTTTCATAAAAATTGGCTTAGATTTGAGTAATCTTGGCTGTTTAAGCAAGGTGCTTTTGTTGCCATCAGTCTGATTCTTTTTGGAGAAGAGCAGGTATGAGTAGTTTTTAAGGCAAACGAGTGAGCTAGGAATCTTTGAGAAGTAAGCAAGGACAGAATTTTTCAAGTGTAAAGTTTTAATTCACAAATTTATTTATTTATTTAGAAATTGTATTCCCACATTTTTATGATTGTATAATAATGTACAGTACTCTTGCTTAATCATACTTGTGATTGTGTTTGGGAGTGCATAAATGCTATAGGCTATCATAGCTTATATATTATTGGTTTTAGTTTTATTATACTTAAAAAAGCTTTGTAAGTTATTTTTGAAAAGTATATACCAGTGGTAAAATAAAACCTTTCCCCCCACAGGGGAAAGCTCTGTGTTCTTGAATGTTGTTGTATTTTAACAAAGCTCTCACTAGGATGCTTTCCCCCCCAGCATTTGCCAGCTGCATTGCAAAAAAACCAGGCTGTGTCTACAGTTCATCAAGCAGAAAAAAGCACCAATGGCAAAAGTGTTTTGCCATCACAAGGTAAAATTGCTTATTTTATACAAACAATTCTATTTGCCTTAATCAGTAATGTGGCATTTAGCTAGATCGCCTTTCTTTTGCAAGCTCATGCTTGTGTTATATGATGGCCAGTTCAAAATTTTGGTTTCAATATTTTACTCATACAATAGTCAATTGAGAAAGAAATTGGAAGGTTCCTTACCAGATGAGGTAAGCTTGGATAGTATATACTATTATATTTGCATTCTTCATCTCAGAAGAAAGCATTGATTTCTCCTGCTGCTGCCAGTATCATACCTCTACCTAATGAGGAGCAGCATCCATTTGATTTGTTCATAAGCAAACTGTAAAAGTAGAAACCCTAGAATTTGAGTATTTTCTATCCTTCCCTTCATTTCAAACTTCAACCCTAGACTATCTCACAGGGTTGTTGTGAGTATAAGATTGACAGCAAGAGGGGGAGAATGATGTAAGCCACTTTACGTTCGTAAGAAAATAGTAGGCTATAAATCACACAGTATTCTTCCTTGGTAGTCAAATCAGTGCATCCATGCACAAGGGAGAGGTTTGGGCAAGCTTGCAGAGAGTTCAGATTCAAGCAAGTACAAACATTTTTAGGGATCAAGGAAATCTGCATGAGGATGCCGGAATAGGCCTGTGCATGCTCAGTGACTATGTGGGGGGGCAGGGCTGGGGGTAGAAAACTGAAAGGAGGGGAAATGGAGTGCTGGGGAACAGGGCATGGCTGACCAGCCGTAACATAGAAATGAGCAGTATAAGCTGCTGTATTTTGCTGCAGGTCCCACTTGTGTTTATAAAAAGAGGCCACTGGGGCAAAGTTAGGAAAGCAGACTTTGTTACGAGGTGCTTCCTCCATGTACTGGGAATGCCTTGAAGCAGTGGTGCCCAAAGCAGCAGTCCTCCTACTCAGCTGAGCAACAGCAGAGATGGGCAAGTCTCTAGTATGTATGCATGCCTATGCTTGGTGTGTACATGGATGGAGGATGTGTGTGGGCTCATGCATATGGATGGGAGCATAAGTGAGAGTGAGAGAAAGCAGTGTGTGTGTGCATGCTTTGGTCCTCAGCATCATGTAAAGGGAAAGCAACCCCATTTTCCAAAGGGAGTGGAGGCCTCAGCAGGGAGTGGGGAGTTTCCCCATTCACACTTAAATGGATGCCCAGCTTGCTATTCTGGATGTTAATGAAGTGCATGTGCAATATGAAGTTTTTACACTTTATGTGTTCCTGCATGTTAAGTATGGTTAATGCTGTATCTGGGTTTGGGTAGTAATACTGGATTTGAGAAGCCATTTCACTGAAGAAAGCATTCTATTCCATTTTAAGAGTAAGAAATTTAATGTGGACTTGCCAAATTTTCTAGCATCCTGTTAGAATCATCAGTTCAGAAGTGGTTTTCAACACTTTCTTACAGGCCTGTTGAGGTTCTAGAATTTGAAAGTTAGCAGAAAGTTGGGACTATTCTTGAAATGGAATCATGCCAGTTAATAGTGTTGTGCTTCTCTTATTTAAAGAAATACATTATGTGGATTTTCACTAGTTACATTTCCAAATCATAGTATTGTGGATATTAATTGATACTGAACTAGAGCAACCATTTCTTGTAAGCCATCTACAGCACTGCAGTTGACAGTGAGCTAATTCAGATTCATGCAGTGCTATCTTGACAGTATGTGTACAAGTTTGGAAAAGGCCTTAAAACATAAAATTTCTGCTGCTGTGATCCTGAGATTGTAAAACATAGTTCAATATATGCCAAATCATGGTTTGGAACAGCCCAATGGCTCTCCAGGATTTCAAGCAATGGATTTTGTATTTATATGGTCTTCACTTGGGGTGATAGACTCAAGGATATGCAGAGACAGGAAACCTAAATGCCACTTTGCAGTCAGATTTTAAGAAGCGTAATTGCAGCAGAGAGGGGAAGATTTTCAAGAGGTGTACATGTGAGAGAAAGAGGGAGTTCTGAGTAATAATGCTGGGGGCCTAATGCCAGTAGTGGAGTAGTCCTGCTCGACTGGGGATGTGATTGGCATGTGACCTAAGTGTCCTTGTTTTGTCAGCTCTGGGATGGTAACAAGCATCCTTTACCGGAGGACCAGGACCAGGGGCAATGGGAGTGGATGGCGGAATAGGGCCAGAGTGAAGGTGGAGCCAAGAGCAGCAGTGGTCAGATACCAACAAGGCATAGCCAGACTGGAGACAAAGGCAGAGTCAGGAACATGTGAGGGTCAGAAACCTCACAAGGCTTGCCAAATCCAGAGGAAAGACTGAGTCACACACAAGCAGGAGTCAAGGCAAGAAGACATTGCAGGACTAGTTGCAGAAGTCAAATCAGGAATATGAAACTGCCATCATAAAGATTCCCACTGCTTTGCCAAAGGTGGGAATCACAGGAGGTGCTCCAAAAGGCCTCCTGTGACTCCCAGTAGATCTGTATGCTTACATTGTCCCTAATCCTGAAAGCACCTACAGAACTGATGCCAATCCAGCAAGTATTTGCAAAATGGACCATGCTACCTTCTAGCTGCATTGCTGTATAGATCCCGACAAGTTTCCCATTTGTTTCTTGCTGGAGTATGAATACCTGGAGTTCCAAATATGTGCAGTATAGATGGCTTATCTACAGTGCCAGGTTTCTGAGGTTAAAGACTTCTTGGCCTAAAATAAAGTAACCTATTCAAAGAAATATATTAATACCTTGCCTGCCACTTCTAAAAAACTGATTACCTAAATGGCATTAAAACAACTGATAATAGTTGTAGTAATCTCAAATTACTTTATGTATCTGTATTGTCTTAAAGTGGTAAGAAATGGGAAGGAAATTACTGTAATCCGCCTTGAGCCATGTCCTGGGAAATGCAAGCCATACAGTTTTATATTTTAATTCTTACATGACATAGGAAGATCTTTTGCAAACCTGACGCTAGCAGCTGCAGCTGATGAAAGTAACTTCGACAGTATGGCAATGACTTTTGAAGATTCCTCCAAGACATTTATGGTAATATGTTATCTAGAATGTTTTCATTTTCTTGGCTTAGAAGAGGGCTGACCCAGGGGCCACCACTGCAACTCTAGAAAGAGAAGTATGAATGTTTGGCATTGGTAAAAGGTTTAGCTTTCTAATATGCAGCTTTTCCTGTTAGCTCATGTGACCAAGTATTTGTGGAGAGAGACTTAAAGTTACTTTAGTAAATAATTTGTAAGATTGTAGATTAAGTTTTAATGGGAGGAAAACTGTTTGTATTGTTGTACTGTTAGCACATTTTCTTCTCTGCAAATACACTGACTGTTTTCTGTACTTGGATCCTAAATAGAAATATTTAAGAATTTTTACTTGTACCCAGTAATTCTTGTGTAGAGGGAAACAACTTATTGAGACCAATTTTAAAAGTAATTGCTTATCCTGTGTTCCCATTATTATTTTTGTGCTGCCCATTAGCAGCTAAGCGAATGATTATATTTATACCTGCCCTGGCTAGCAAATCATGTCATTACTAGTTGGCAAGGTTGTCAAACATCATTTACTCACTTTATTCAGTGGGAATTGGACTCTTCAGAAACCTTTCAGGGTTATTATTATTTGTAAAAAGAGGAAAGGCAGCTTGCCCATCATTGTGTGTTCTTGCAATGCACAAGGAGTATTATATTCTAGAGTTCATATGGGCTAACAGTGAGGCCATGTGACTGGCCAGCTCTGTGAACTGACACTGCACTCTAAACATGTTCCAGAACACAGGAGATACATGGTACACACCTTGATGAGGAAAGGATTCCATGAACCTAAAGGGTCTGAAGGCTACTGCAGTAGAGTGTGTGTTCCTATTTAGATGAATGAAGCTCATTTCATGACAACTTCCTAGGTGATTGTGGTTATTTAGCACCCACTGGAACATTATCACTTTTTAAAAATTAATCATGATTTCCTGTCCCCTCACCCCCCCCTCTTCAGAAGGGCAATGGAACTGTTGAGCCCTTGTCAGCAGTAATTCTCGATTCTTCAGACAGTGCAGAAGTAGAACGGGAAGCTAATTATCCAGATGGCAAGGTAAGAGTAGTTGCATTTACTTAAGAGATTCTGCTCTGTGATAATGGGAGACCCTGCCTCATTTCAGAAAGAATGAGAGGTGCATTTATGAAGCTAATCCTGCACTTGAGGGAACTTTTTTAGACTTGAGTAAACATTTATTCTTCTTTTCCTAGTCTTAGAATTTAGTTTGGAGAATCCAGATGAATGTCTGATGACAACAGCAAAAGGTGTTAAATGTGCTTTCATAATGTTTTTTTCCCCCATATTGGCTCAAACCAAGTGTCAGTAGTTTCTCCATAATCCTCTCAGCCTCATAAGCTTGTGAATTCAGAGTAGAGAAAAGCAGATTGCCTATTCTTACATATTGTTGGAGCTGTCTCCCAGGTGCAAAAGTAATTCATGCTTGGCCCCAGGTGTGGGAATACATCATGAGGTTGTACAACCTCCCTTGCAGCATGTAGAAACTTTCATGTTTGTGTATGTACCCTGTTCAAGAGACCCATCTACATCATGAATACTGCAAATCCTCCAGCCATGAATGGAGGCATCTGTAAATAAGGCCTCAGTGGATTTATCTGAGGTTGAGAAGGAATCTTGTTCTTAGTCACTTAAGAGATTTCTTCCTCTGTTCCCTGTCCCTTGCCTATAGTACTGTGTTTAGTGCATTTATTTGAAACTTGTGAAAATCCTGTTGGAGGTCTTCAGATAATTCAGACAACCCCAACCTTTCTGCGTCTGAACCGATTGGTAATAAATATACTTTTATTTTATATGCTTTTTGTCTTTTATTTTTAGGTTGAAAAATTTTTTAAAAATGGTGCCCACCTTATCATCTTCCCTAATGGTACAAGAAAAGAAGTAAGCTGCGATGGGAAGATTACGACTGTAACCTTTTTTAATGGAGATGTAAAACAAATTCTGGAGGATCAGAGAGTAGTATGTATCCAGCAAGTGGATTTATCATTCATGTGTGATCAGGTTGTTTCTACTACTGTTAATTTTATGAACTCTTCTCAACAGATCTACTATTATGCAGATGCCAACACTACTCACACCACATACCCCACAGGTTTAGAGGTTCTGCATTTCTCAAATGGACAAATAGGTAAACTGAGATCTCTTCCTGTCTTGCTAATGGAAAGCGGGTTAACTACTTCCATCCCAGAGGCATGTGTGGCTTGCAGTGCATCCCAGCATGCACAGCCTCTTAAGGTTCATCCTGGGGGTGTGGCTCAACCCTCTGACTTCTGGAGGATTCTCCTCGGAGCATTTCTTGATTTGAGATCAGAAACAACATTGGGATTTCCCCTATAGGCCCACACCAGCAGCAGAACCCCTCTATATGCCCTACCCATCAGAACAGCAATGGGAACTAGGATGGCTTAGTCTTGCCATGAACAGGCTTCTGTAACTGGGAATTTCTGCACACAAAGCTGGTTTGCTGGGCCAAGTAATAGGTGGAAGATCCACCAGATCAGGTGGCCATGGATGTGCTTGCTAACACTTACCCTGCAGATTTTGGGGGGTTGTCCCCCTCAGAAAGCTTTTAGTCCAACACACTACATTAAACAGTAAGCTACATTTATATAAAACAAGTGCATCTGACATGATATGCTTATTATTGCAGAAAAGCATTTTCCAGATGGAAGGAAAGAGATTGTATTCCCTGATCAAACCATTAAGAATGTGTTCACGGATGGACGAGAAGTAAACATTTTTCCTGATGGCACCATTGTCCACATTCAAACGTAAGGTTTGACTTTGTCAAAGCAACTTTGACTAAATTCGGTTGCATTCTGTTGTAAGACCAGGATTGGGAGAGGATACTTTTATTTCTAAGGAGCCCTCCTTTCAGCATAGACTAAGGGAGGAAAAAAACCTTAACAGTTAAGTTATAATTCAAAATCCCAAAGTAGCTGGAACCAGTCAACCTGTTCAAAAAAGAGGGATTAAGGTTTTGTTCAAACTTTAGAGGGTCAAGCAATGGGTAAGGCTCAGTAAAATTATTCAGTTTGCTCAGTCAGGTAGCAGCTGACCAGTTGTTCTAGGAGGCCATATAGATCTAGACCAGAATGGTTATCTTGGTAGGGATATGTGAGAATTCAGATGAGATAAAAGTCCAATGAATTTTCATGATTCACTCTCTCAGATTAGAGTTTGTTAGCCCTGTGCTGGCACCATAATCTAGTTTGCAAACTACTGTTGCATTTTTTTAAGTGAGACTAGGGAAATCATGCAAATCACACTATTGGAAATAGAAAATTATGCAGTTCTAGCATGGTTTGTACAAATCGTCTTAGAACCACCTATTTTCCAGATTCCACTTTGTGCAAATTTCCTTAAAAAAAGGGCAGAAACCCCAGCCTGTCTCAGAAGCAGCCCACGGAAACCCCCAACTTAAACCAACTTCTCATCAGGCAAGAATTCAATTGAATTCAAGCCAAACTTCCCAGCGTCAGCACATTCCTGGTGCTGTTTTCCTGAGAAAAACTCATCTTTGCAAGACAGATTTACATTAAGAAAGTCTTTGAGGAAAGAGACTGCAGCATTGAGGTCTAAAGATGTCATCAAGGAGATGGCTTTCAATGCCAAGCACTACTCTGATGGTATTCCCTTACCTTCCCCATCTTCCTGTGTTTAGAAGATTAAAAAAGAGGTAGAGATCATACAGCCATTACAGCAGCACTGATGAACAGTGGTACTGTATACTTTCTGATTGTTAGACTTGGAACTTTATTAGCAGAAAAAGAGAGGACAAAACTAGACAGGATAGTTGTGCCCTTAACAGCAGAGGGCAGTCTATCCAAGCCAAATAACTCAGGAGGCCATCACAAGTATGTTTAGACATCCAGTTCTACAATTTGTAGTGTGCCCTAGTCACCTTGGCTGTCAGGGGAATAGCAGGAACCGCAGAATTTTTTTCCCATCTAAACATGCATGAGATTGACTTAAGATAACCGAAGTGGTAACTAGCTGCAAACTGTGCTCTGGCTCTCACTTCTTAACGTTGCTTCTCAGTAGTAAAGAGGCTGTAATCAATGCACTGCTAATTTATACATATTTATTTTAATTAAGGGATGGAAGTAAGATTATAGAGTTCTGCAATGGTCAGCAAGAAGTGCATACAGCTCACTTCAAAAGACGTGAGTATCCTGATGGTACCATCAAAACTGTGTATGCTGATGGACGGCAGGAGACACAATATGCCTCAGGTCGCATAAGAGTTAAAAATAAAGATGGTGATATTATTATGGACACTCTACCATAAATGTTCATATTTTGCTGTCATGTTTTGTTTGTAGCATTCTTTAAACACTATTCTAACTTACAGAAAATGTATTTAAATACTTTGTACAGAGGCAATAAAAGTGTTTGACTTTTTTTAAACAATTCAGATGCTCACTTTTAATGAGATTTACAAATTAACTGAATCACTACATACAGTTGAATCAAGCATATGACTTACTGTAGACTGTAGGTCCAGTGGTTGAAAGATAAATTACAACATGACCAAACTGAAGGAAAGCTTAAACTTTAAAGTTTTTTAGAATCTTCCTTCATGTTAATGGCAGCTATAGTGGCCCTATTTAGCTGCTGACCTGTTGCAAATTTCCAGACTACTAGGGAACAATATATGTTGTGTGTTTCTTAGTAAAATTTCTACATATTAACACTGTATGGTAAAAGGTTATGTAAATCAGCAATGGGAACCTTGGATGCAAAGATCAATTTCATTCTAACTTCCCCAACTGTCCTGCTTTTGAATGTGAGCTTCAGAAAACAGGAGTGGGCATCTTGTGGCCCTCTAGATGTCTTTGCCGATTATACTTATGCTATGGCTATGCCAGCTAGGGCTGATGGGAACTGTGGGCCAAAACATCTACAGGACCACAAATGATTTAAAGCAGTAATGGGATGAAAGGTGAATAGCCTAATAACCGGAGCAGATCCAGCAACATCCCTGTCACAGGCTGCCAGGAATCACTGGGTTGAGTCTCTCATGCTTCGACTATAAACACCCAGGCAGCTACAGTTGAACATAGGGCTAAAGGTGACTTGAAGGCCTGCCTGAAAGGGCCTCCAGTCAATAAGGGCAGGCTAGCCCAGCTGAGGTAGAATGAAACTGCAACTGGAGCCCATCAATAGCAGACTTAAGTTCTGGGACAATGCAGGAAGCAGGGAGGTAGAGAAGAGAGGCTGGAAGGAAAAGAGGAACACTGCATGCCATGACAGAAGGTAGAAAGAGGATCCTCCCTGCAGCCATCTGCCCTGGCTTCATTTGGCAAGGATTCTGGAGGTACCCAGCAGAAAGAAACAGGAGGACTCAAGAGTAAAGAGGCCAGGAAAGCCTCTCCCACAGTGACAAGCCTTGCTACCTACCAGAAGAATGAAGGGCAGGTACTTCAAGCAAAAAGGCACTGGACAGATTGTTGATGTAAAGCTAGGAAAAAGGAAAGGAAGGCGTAAGTCTTATAACAAGGATTTCTAGGCTGTCTGGGACTTCAAATAAAATTGTGTTTATGGAAGCTATGGAAGAGGGTGAGTTGAATGTGCCCCATGCTGAGGAAGGTTACACAATCCCTTAAAGAGATGCAAACTGTTTCTTTTCCCAAGATGAGATCCACATAGAAAATAAAAGGCCTAAGTAAAAGCAGAATGGGTGTACTTTTGAGCTGGGCAAGGAAGTAATCATGCAAGGTAGGGACAAGAAAGACTAGCCACATGATTTCCTACATCTCAAGTCTGATGAAAGATAAGGCCAGAATGGTAAGAAAGTGGAATCCCCCCCCCCACCGTATATCTGTACTGCACTGTTGGCTTTATTAAAATATAGCCCTTTTCTATTCAGCATTCTATCACTTTTCTACCCCATCCACCACTGATGTCTCGGGACGGCATTCTATCACTTAAAAGCTCAGTATACATCAGTGCTGCTCTAATGCAGTTGCCAGCTCATTCTGTTTGCAATGTCGGTGAGCTTTGCCTGGACTACTGCTCTCCAATGCAAGACTTTCATGTCTCTGTGGAACAATATAGTTGGGGGTGGCACTAAGCCCAATTTTTATTCTGATTTATTTCAGTATCTAAAAGCAAACACAAATAAGTATGTTTACAAACACGGACATCAACCTACATCCTTGCTGGATTTATCTACTGATATGTAAGTTGAACAGTTGGCAGCTTCTCCATCTGTTATACCAACATGAGAAGAAACACTTCCCAATGCACTTCTGGTGCAGCAGTTTCTAAACACCAAGCACATCAAGGTGAAATGCAACTGGGTTCAGCCAACACAGTGGACCAACAATGGTAAAATACAACAGTGGCTTGCTGTGTGGTCTAAACCCAACCACAAAGTCTCAAAACTAGCTTTTGCCATGAATGGAATTATCCCATGAATGGAATTATCCCATGAATGGAATTATCCCTGATTTTCACAGGAATGAAAGAAAAGATATGAGCTACCTGATTTTCACAGGAATGAAAGAAAAGATATGAGCTACCAAAACTACCTTGTAGACCTCAAAATCAGAGCAATAGTGGGGGGAACAATTTGTAGGCCCAAACAGTGGAAGGGCTACAGTTCCCATCAATCCAGGCCAATAGTAAGAACTTGTGAAAGTTGTAGACCAGAACATCAAGAGGGCCATAATTTACCTACCCGGTTCAGTGTATCATGCTAGTAAAGTGACAAGTATTCCGTGGCACTATGGAGAATGATAGTTTGTGGACAGACTGAAAGGATGACACTACAGAATTACAACATTAACCAACATTTTAATGAAACAACAGGTACTTTTATTCAACATCCTTCAGTACCTGAATAGTGCAACAAGAAAGTTCTTTGAATTCTTCAGTGCAGAATTCCCTACAAAAAATACTAAGAAAAAATCCAAATTGAAGAATGAAATCTCTCTAGTCAGATTTATTATCATAAGGTGTGTACCTGAAAAACAAAACACCGATTAAACCAAGAGACTACAATTCCCATTTCTTGAGATAGACTAAATGTAACAAAAGGTACAGACACTTTCATTGCAAACACTGGCTCCTGCTATCATTTCCGGTTTCATGTCTTTGGCCACAATTACACTGCTTTCCAACATCATCAGGGACTGTGAGAAGGCATAGTTCCAGCACCAATGTTCTCCAACCTCAGTGCTTGGTCTCTGATAGCCAAGTCTCTCCCTCTGTAGTTGCTGCTTAAAGTGCAAAAATGTAACTTGGTAAGGAGGAAAGGGGGGCAGGAAAGGATGCAGCTAAAATTGGTTACCTATGCTGAATTCTATCTGCCATGTCCTCCCTTGCTGGCACTTTAGCCAGACAGCTATCTACATAACATGCACAGGCTGAGGTACAGTCATATTTACAAAACTCTAAGGCAGGCAGGATAAGACTATCCTAACTCACTGTCATGAGTGGAGGTGGCTGGAGCCAGGGGTCAGACTAGATGGCCCAGGAGACCCCTTCTGACTCACTCTGTTTCACTGCAAGTGGTGTGTTGTGTTTATATATCACCTTTCTAAGAAGGCAATGTGTTAACAATAAATTAATTAAAAACATAATCACATGAAACATTAAAGATACAGTGGTACCTTGGCTCACAAACTTAATCCGTTCCAGGACTCTGGTCGTGACCCAAATTGGTTGTGAGCCAAGTTAAATTTCCCCATAACATTCAATGTAAATAAGGTTAATCCGTTCTGTAAACATTTTTTAAATCACAAAAATGTGAAGCAAAGTGACAACAAAGATCGTGGCCTCCCCCCCCCCCGGCACAACGTGGCCACCTCCCCACCACCCTAGCGCGACCGAGATCATGCCTGTCATCCCTGCAGGTGCCCGTCATCCCGGCATGCTGGGGGGTGGGGGAGGAAGAGACAGGCGCAAACAGTGCGCTGGGGGACTGAGAGATGGACACGAAAGGGGTGCACTGGGGGTGGGGAGATAGCTGCAATCGTGCTGGTTGGGGGGGGGGGTGGCCGAGATTGCACCTGTCTTTCCTGCAGCAGCACGCCTGTGATCACGCACGCCTTCCCTGCATGAAAGCAACTGCGATTGCGGCCACCTCCCCACCCCCGGGGGGAGATGGTCACAATCACAGTTCTGTTCGTGCAGGGAAGGTGTGCATGATCACAGGCGTGCTGCTGCAGGGAAGACGGGCACAGCACAGCACAGCCACGGGGGAGATGGCTGAGATTGCGCTCATCTTTCCTGCAGGAGCATGCCTGTGATCATGCACGTCTTCCCTGCATGAAAGCAACTGCAATCGTGGCCATCTTCCCACTTGGGGGGAGGAGGGGGGAGATGGCTGCAATCTTGGTCGCCACCCAATGTGGAGTTCACGACCCAAGTCAAAATTTTAATGGAATTTTTGTTCGTGACCCAATTTGTTCGTGAACCAAGGTGTTCATGAGCCGAGGTACCACTGTACATGTTAACTCATTTCTAAAAAGGCTACAAAATGGGACCAATCTAAGCTCTGAAGGGAGAACATTCCAGTTTCGGAGTAATGCAGGCAAAAGCCTTTCCAGACATGCCCAACAAATGGTCTCTGTGAGCAGTGCTATCATAGGAAGGAGTTCTCCAGCAGCACTTAATGACTAAATTGGTTTGAAATGACAGAGACAGTTCCCTCAGAACATCGAGCTATTTAAGCCACTGAAAGCTTTAAAACAGGGATGGATAATCTTGTGTCCTTCTAAGTATTTGGGATGGTCACGCTCATCAGCTGTAGCCAATGACAAGGGATCACATAAATTACAAGCCAAAGTTGCCCACCCCTGCTCTGAAGATTAAGACTAACACCTTGAACTGAGGCCAGACAACTGGCAACCAAAGCAAAACTTTAAATATAGGGTTGTTATGACCATGGTAGCTTGCACTGGTTAGCACGCAGTTGCCACATTTTAAACGCTTCCCAATATAAAAGGAATTTCCACACACGGAGAACTCTCCCGATTAACTTTCTTCCATTTTACATTACCCTCTCCCCTCCCAGCTTTTAGCTTTTCCATGTCTCTGTCCTTCATTACTGTCAGTTTTAATGGACCTTCCAGCTTCCCAATTGCGTTCCCTGGAAAGCAGGACTCATTGTCAGCTACCTTTTTTGGTAGCACACATCAGAACCTCCTTAATTGCTTAGAGGGATCTTCCCAAACGTGGCACTGCACAAGCACAGCACCCATGTGTGTGATGCACAGAGACCCCAACAAAGGATGCTATGAATTTATGCAGCGTGACTTTTCATTTGCAGTGAGTAAATCAAAACCAACAGTCACTCACTGGAGGAAAGAGAAACAAGGACAATTCCATGAATGGCTTTTTAGAAATAAATTGTGGGTGTATGAGTCCTAATCCAGATCACTACCTAGGAATGAGGAGATGGCACTTAAATCTTGCATCTGAACTTCACTGCAGTCCTGACCCAGACCAGGACCCTGTGCCTATTCATGGTGGGGTGGGGGGCAGTCCTACAGGAACAAATGCAAACTTTCCCTCATCCACTTCAAATTGCTGATAAGGGGGACTCAATTCACACAACTACCAGCTGCCTAAATGACATCTAATACAACCATAAGTTACTGTAGAATCAGACCAACTATTTTAGCTTCCTATTTTTCACTAATTTCATTACGCCTTGCCCAATGCCTGTCAGCAGCTTCTGCAACGGTACCCCCTATGTTCAAACTCCACTCTTCTTATCTCAGTGCCATCCATCTGCATAGATTTCTATTAGCTTACAGAGACTCTAAGGTTCCTAAGAAGGTAATCTATCCTTTTAGTGTTGACTCAAGACAAACATGCCTAATTCAGTGTGCTTACCTGTCACTAGCTTAACACTGCCAATCCCATTTCAACAAGCTTCATGTGAAACAGGTGTCCATCTTCATATAAAAACACAGTACACTCTGGTGAATGTGTCTGAAATGTCAACAGCCAAGCAGATTCAGAATCAATATTAGCATATCCAAACAATGCAACCTCAAGGCATTTTAGAGATTCCATCTTCTGGACCAACCCAATCTGTTTACCAGACAAAGCTCTGTATCAACTGTAAAATGCTGCAGGTACACAGCTGGAGTATGCTCCCAGAAGGAACTTTCTTCCAGTGCCATGGTGATGTGTGGCTGGATTGTTTATCATTTGCCAGGACAAAAAATGGCAATGTCAGTTTTGGCTCAGAAGAAAAGCTCTAACCTGTAATCTTTGTGTTTCAGCAGGAGAACACAATAAGGCTATAAACATGCAACAGTAAACAGAATTAAAGTCATTATGTGCCTACTACCTCTTTTTTCTGCAGTGCTACGAATACCAAGTCCCAGAAACATCTCTGATAAACCTCAGTTTAAAAAATACAGGACATCCTAAGACTATGGTATCAAATATTTAAGCTGAGGTTTAAATGGTCCCTTTAAAAATTTCTGCTTTAATAAATGTATTAATCTCATGTTACACCAGTTAAGATCTTTACATGCCTACAGAATGTGGTTGGGCAGACTGAACAGAATCAAAATAATACAGACAAGAAAAGGCTTACAAGTGAGGAAGCACAGAGTTTTTTCCCGTGGAAGCATTCCATCACAGTCCATAATGCTTCTATGCTCCATTCGGGACAATATGGAATCCTTTCTGTTGCGGGATCACATAAAGCGGGTTTGAATCCAGCTAAGAAGACTTTGAATGCTTGAACAGGGTACTGCATCAATTGAGGAGGAATCTGACGTAATCTGAGATCAAATTCAAGTCAGTAATTAAATTCAAGGTGATGGGTCACAGCCAAATTTCACAAGTACCAGTAAACCAAGTTTGCTGAATTGTGCCAATTCCTGCACTGAATCCCATCTATGCAAACAAACAATGGCTTCTTTTCCAGCAACAATCCACCAATTAAAAGCTTCCATTTGTGGTGGCCTATTAAGTTCCAGCTTGTTTTAATTTTGTGATTGCATCCAAATCCAAAGCCTTGGGTTCTGCAACACCCTGCAAAATGAGGCTCACCCAGCACAGAGGTCAGAGGTAACCGGCTTGTGGAACTACCAATATGCAGGGAGAAAATGATGCTCCTGAATTTGTTCTTCAAGATGTTCACTACCTATAACAAGTAGTGTCGCATGAAACCCCACTCCTTCACAATACAGTTGGCTGCCTTCACACCCAACTGGCACTGAACTACACCATAAGTGAACACTTCCCATTCCTTTTTCAGTAAAACAAAGCATTCACGATTGAATGTTCTCAAGCCTAGAGATCAATTTGGGTGGGCATAACCTGAAGATGCAGTGTTAGGACTATCTTTTGAAATATTTTCTGTCCAAAGGCTGTCCCTATGGAGCCTTCTGAAACTTATAGTGCTTAATAAGCTTGCAGAATGAAGACCAACCAGCTGCCTTGCAGATTCTGCCAGAGACACGTTAGTTCAGAATGCTGCTGATGCTCCTTCAGCTTTGGTGGAATGGGCAGTTACATGTGCTAATTAGAGAAATTCTGGTAATTTTATGCAATGAATACAGAGGTCCTGAGCCAACTGGCTGGGATGGCCCAATGGATATCCCGTGGGTGCCAATGTTTTCACAGAGGCCCTGTGAAAAACAGAATTGACTTAAGGAAGGAAAAGGGGAAGAATGGAACATAGGGAGATCTGGAGTAGAAAACAAAAGCTTGAATAGTGGATGAAAGGATCAGGCCTAGCGAGAATTGTGGAGAGCCAGACATACTATCCTGTGCAAGGCGCAAAATGAAACGGGAAGGGAGGAATCACAGAGGCTGAGAGCAAGGTAACCATTTTCACATGTTTTCAGCTTTGTCCTGGATGGCAGGAAAAGGTGATTCATCAGAGAGGCCTCCTCACACTTGACAGAGAAGGACAGCCCACACACTTTGACATGGAAGCATTCCGAGGCCAACTACACAATCACCAATGAAAGCAAAATACACTTCTTTCAGTTATGGTAACAGCTTTCAAATACAATTCTAACAACCAGTGGAGCTTGCCCTTTAATTGCAAGCATGTTTACTGCATTAGCTCTTCCATATCTCCTGATGGTGAATTATTTGTCAGAACCCATATGGCAGGTCATCACAGCTTTCCATTCCCTGATGCAGGAATTTTCAGAAGGAAACTGCAAGTGCAAGTTGGAGAAGGGGAGGGAACTTTGGATACTGCTTGCTTTTTGAAATATACTTTATTTTGAAATAACCTGTTCCAGACCACCCATGATATGCTTTCCTTGACACTCCCAGTTATTGCCACCAAGAGGGCCAGAGTTGTTATGAGAAGCATATATAGCCCAGAGCCAGTAAGAAATGGTTTGGGGAGAAATATTTTTTCTTACCCTTAATAGGCAACCACTTGATAGAACTGTTATCAGGCATGGCTGTTTCTACAGGCAATCTTTCAGAGCTGGGAGAGGAACCCTCCCCTCTGCTGCCACAGTGAGGAAAATGTAAAAATTTGTTTGATCATCTGCATAAATAGTCATGGCTACAGCAAGCAACGAACCAAGGCTAGTATTTATGCGATATGGTGCTAATATTTATATGTCCGCCAGATCAACTTTTCTGGTGACTGTTTCTTGATAGTTGTGATAAACATGAATCTATAAAATAAAAAGTATAAACAATGTACAGGCTTACCTGCTTGTGGGCAATGTATCAGTTGATCCATAATCGACAAATTCCACCAGAATTGAAAGAGGATTGAATTCATTAATTGAGAGGAGTTTTGCCCGATACCATAAGTCATCTCTGTATTTTGCAAGGCAGGGCATGTCTACAAGAAAATACCACTAATTAATTCAAAATCTAAATTATATAACTGTTTATTCTGTGTTGCCCACCCTATTACCTTGCATAAATGGGAAGGGTATCACATAAACTGCCCAGCGTAATTAGGTATGAGGTAGCATTGACTGTTTTCCATGTGCTGTTTTGTGCAGCAAACAAATGTTGGTTATGCTAATTCTTTGCAAGTTTAATTAGCATTCTCCCTTTCCTAATGGTATATCAGGTACCAGACTAGCAAAGATGAACATGCAAGTAGCTAGAATATTATTTCCACTTAAGTGTGAGCCTTACAGCTCTTGCCCACTCAACTGACTATGTTAAGCACTAGGAAACAGGTGAAAACACATCAAGACACACCTTGTTTTCTTGACAATCCATTACATTGTTTAAAGGAACCAAGTATTTGTCATTAGATGCTTTCAGAACAAAATGTTTTCCACTGAGCTGTTGTCACCTAAGGATACTAGGATTAAATTACCTCACTGTCTGAAGTTCAGGGGAAATTCTTTGCACAGTTTATATAGCAAAAAGTACAGAGGAATAACTTTCATGAGGCATTGTTTTTTCCAGATAGAAGCAAAAGATTGGGGTTTTCATTCTAAAATCGTTTTAGACCTTGTGCCTTCAGTTGCAGAATTTATAAATGTAGTATATTATTATCTTTACCTCTGAGAAATAAAAAAATACCTTTTCGAAAATCAGTTAGAAAAGGAATGGACTCTATATTCTCATTACACTGACTCAAGGCTTGAGCTAGAGTTTCAGAATCCAAGCTGATTCCACTGTCTTTATCAGTCCGCTGGTTAGCACTGTCTGACTGGTCAAATGAGATGTATACCTGAGCCCAAAATATAAAATAAAAATACTTAGATTGGAATATTAACAAGCGTGGAAATATCTTAGTTTATATATCAGTTAACTTGAAAGTCTCCTATTTTTATCTAATGGAAGATCATCAGAGTTCCAAAAATAAAATAAAAATTCAAGAACAAAATTAAAAAGCAAGAAAGACAAATACTGTGTATTTCCCATGGCAATTGTATGGCAAATGCCCATACTATTGCACCTTATGCAGTCTCCTACTTGGAAAGCTACATCCCTCACCTCTTCTATTAGGGATGTATATGTATGCAGCATTCCACAATTTAATGAATGATTATTTTCCAATATTGAGTTCTTAACAGATCAAGCTTTTGTAGAACAGCGAACAATTGTACCCATTTGCTCTGTATTCTTGCTACATGACAAATGTAAACAATTGAAAGGAAAGTTCCTAGATGAGCACAGCATTGTGTAATCAGTAAATAAAGCTTTTAGGTCAAAGGTAGTCTTGAGATCTGCGGGAGAGGCCCTTCTCCGGGAACCCTCCGTGAAAGAAATTAGGAGGGTAGGTACTCGGAGGAGGGCTTTCTCTGCGGTGGTGCCCAATCTATGGAATATGCTCCCCAAAGAGGTCCGCCTGGCACCGTCGTTATTTGTTTTTCGGCGCCAGGCGAAGACCTTTTTATTTAAACGTCATTTTAATTGTTAACAATATTTACTCTTTTCTTTTATAACTTTTCTAACTCCTTTTATATCATTTATATTTTTTATTTATTTTATATTATTAATTTTAATTTTATATTGTTATTTTTGTATTGTATTGTATTTTATTGTGTTGTAAGCCACCCCAAGACTTCGGCAAGGGGCGGCATAGAAATGTTCTAATAATAATAATAATAATAATAATAATAATAATAATAATAATAATAGTGACCAAATAGCTTCTGGTACTCCTAAATGGGGTTGAGCAAAAAGAAGCCTGTTGCCACTAAACATTCAAATAAAACTTTTTGATAAATGCCTGATAAATCTACTGCAGCTGTCCTCAAGAACATCAAAAGAGCCAGAGTATTAACACAGAATGCACTTTTGTGAAAGGGAAAAAGTGACAATAAACCAAATAACATGAATGAGATTTGTTTGACATGTTTAACTGCGATACCTCATTGGGTGAAATAATATGTGTTACTTTCACTGGAAAGAGTTCTCCAAGAACAGGCAGAGTTGGTAAGCTGTATGGTGGCAGCAAAGGGGTTTCCACTTCAGACATGAGCAGCTCCTGGAACAAATGAGAAATTAGGATTCCCCATGCGGTTAGAGATACATAAGGAGCAGCCCACTTTGCATGGACAATCCCATGGGGAGGCCAAGGAGTCCAACTGGATGTGCTTGGATAAGCTGATCATCAGCAACATCATGGAGACAATTCTGTGCAACACCCACTAAACAGATGCATAATTTGGGAATGGGGAGATAGTTTTTTATGCAGTTTTAAGTGCTAGGAAACACATCTTTGGTGTGACCTGAGACACCGAAGACCAAAGAGACCCCAGTGAAGAACGCGATAAATGCTTAATAAATAAATATCAAGACAATCATTTTATCCATAAACACATTTGTCCCTATGCCTCCTTGACCCCAACAAACTTGATCTACCCCGTTTCCACCCTCCAAAGGCCTAACGATTGATCAGCTGGACTAGCAAAGAAGTAGAAGGAACAAATTGGATCCAACAAGCTAACTAGGCAAAAAGCTAAATACCAAGAAATCCACTGAATGTCTCCTTGTACCTCATGACTGATTTCACAGTTTTCCTCCAAATCATCTTCACTGCAATCTGCTATATCCTAGAACATGACAGGAAACACAACTGTAACTATAAACCCAGTCTAATCCAGTCCCATTTCAAGCAAATTGGCACCCTCTTGCAAAGCCACAACAAATTAAAAACACTCTATATAGTAATTAGTAACTGTAGGTTTACCATTCCAAATCTAAAACCATGTACTTGCACCAGTTTGAAATAGGAATTATAACTTGCAGCAGCAAACCTTTCCTCCCTCCACTCACTGTTATATGCATTTCTCTAATGTTCACTATTCAAAGTAGTACCCTATGCTAGAGTTAATTTTTAGCTTGCTTACTTTTCTAGACATCTCTCATTTGTCATTTTGGCAACAAACTGTTTTTGCATTTAATAAGAAATTACACCTCTGATTTACCAACCAGACCATAGAAATCAATTACAAACAGAAATGTTGTAAAGGGCAAGGGACAAACATCCCTAACCCTAGAGCAATGACCACAGTTAGGAGTATTCCCATGTTAAGTTCTACATAGATCTTAAAGCTGGAAAGGAAAAAGAAATACCAGTTTTGGTATACAGCCATCCTCTTCACTAATGCAATGTTTATGGTATGCCATGAAAGAGGAAAGTGACAGCCCAGCAAAGCAGAGTTTAATGGACACTTTTCCCCATGGGTTGTCTGGCTGTTCCTGTTAAAAGACAAATAAGCCGTTACTGTACTGATAATTTCCCCAGCTTTTTTAATAGTTCCCATACTGTGCCAGTTGCTATACAGAACAAAGATACTCCCACAGCTCTGAGGAATAGGCAGGCATAGAGCCCCAGAATGTAATAGAGCTTGTGTGTAGAAAACTCCACTTCCCAGCACCATGTACAATAGTACAGTGTTGTGCTAACCAAGGAACAGAAATCCCACATTTGAATGGTTTTGTTATTTAATTTAAATCCATCTCGGTATTGTTTATCGTTTGTTCTGCAGCACTGCCTTATCTTGTCCCCTCCTGTGCCACCCATTCTGAGTATCTAGTGCTCATCTAGGCTGCTGCTGGCAAAGTGGAAGAAATGACCGAAATAGTGTTCACCCTGCCATCCTCCTTTCTGAAATTTCCACTAGAAGGGCCTTGTCTAGAGAAGGGGCTCTGACAAGCTGCACCAGCACAAAATCAGAAAATGTTGACAGACAGCATGAGTAGCACCATATATACCGAACTGGCTTTTTCTTTATGCTTACCTTAACATGTATTTCAACAAGTCTTTTTGTAAGAAGTTCTTGAAGGAGTTCAATTGCATCCTGCTGCCAAACATTTCCAACCTGCATGATCACAGGGCAAAGCACACCACCCATTCTGTTAAGTATGGAAAACCAGTCAGCAAAATCTTCTCAGTCAGGACTAGTCTATCTAGAGTCAGAAAGGTTTTGCTATTGTTAAAGAGGCACAAAACTGTCAAAGCACTTCTTCCTACAAATGCAAGGACTGGAATGAATGGACTTTCCACATTAGGTGCCAAAATATTACCAAGCACCAGACGTAACCTCCCCAAACTCACTGCTGCCAGAGGTTGTCAGCACTTGCCCTTCTTCCTCTCTTGAAGAATCCATGGCAGTAAGACTACTCAACCTCCATTACTCACAGAAATACTAGAGACACTGAGAGATCAGTTGCCCATATATGGTCTACATGCCCTATCTGCTCAACGTTTTTGCTGGGCTATTGTGTTTTGCAAATAAAAAACCAACACAATTAGATTCATGTATTCATAGATTTGAATTTAGGACTATCATAAGAACATGTATACTGTTAGGGTCAGGGCAGTCATTGCCCTGTACATTGTTCATGTCCATACAACATCATGGATTCAATTGTATGGCTGGGATATGGGATTTGTCTATTCCCATATATTACCTTATAGAAGACTCTTTCACAACCTTTGGGTGCATTTCATTGAAAGCCATTTTCCCGTTTGTAGGAATACAGGAAAATCCGGCAACTTATGGACAAGCATTACACACATTCCCTGTTCACTAGACAGAGGACTATGAATTTTTCAAAATGCAGTGCCTACTCACTGGTATAGTTTTATAAAGCTGACATGGTATGGAAAATGGAGCTATGTCAGCATACAATAAAGTTGGATGAAGATGACACTGTGGAATCTTCTCAATATAGCCATAGTCCAAATATTGTACCTAATAAGAAAGAAAAGAAACTGAAGTGGTTCTAGTCTCTTTGAAAACCATGCTAGTCAGGATAAAGGTAGAAAATCCTGATGAATTCCTTGCTATACAGTTTGGGAAGCAGTCATGACACAACTCACCCAACCAGAGTTTTTAATGGAAGTAAGACTGATGTAAAAAGATGCTGAAATTTAGAGTAATCAGATATTTAGTTATTTGTTCACTCAGACTGTCCGGGCACATTCATGAATTTCTCTTGTATGCCTACATTTCGTTTGGCTACAATTTCCTTTACAGAATTTCTAAGCCACCATTCTATCATAACACTTAAAAAATTATACAAACATAAACACATGTTCTAATAATGGATTCTGCTATGTTCTTCAGCACTCTTTGCTCTATAATTTGGAGGCACTTTATATAGGGAAGGTAGTAACATTCCTCCCCTTTGCTGATATGTAACATGGACAGAGACATTAGGGAATGCCCATTTCTTCTGCTCAAAACACATAAAATGTGACCGCCTTCAAAGGAATACACTTCTGAAATGCCACCTTATATAAAAGCCACCTCCAATGTGCACACACAGAAGCAAAAGACTGAGAAGGTCCTTAAGCAGGTTTTCTTACTATGATAATGCCACCACCAACATCTCTAACTTCCCCTCGATACCACATTGTATCTGCAGCTCTCACAACACAAGCCTCTCCTTTCTTCCAACTGTAGGGCTCCAAAAGTCCTAGACATTTGAAGTTTTTCTGTATGTCACTCATCAACTTGTTCAGCTCTTGCTCTAGAGAGAAATACCAAGAAGGAGGCTCTATTAAAATTTTCAAATACAAATAATTTCTATATGCAGTGCTTTATACAGTAGTTTTACTCAAATCACGTGTATCTGAGTAAAATACTTTAATTTCCTAAGGGACCATGATGTGAGTGTAAGTAGCATTATTAGGAATAGTGGAGGTTCCAGGGGCAAGAACAAGAGTAGAAAGGATACCAAAAAATCCTGAATTGTCTCCTCTTCACTGGAAACTTAATTCAACCATTTATGTCTGGAAAATTCACGACTCCCTTAACAGCAACTGCAAATACATTTGTGGACTGGATTATACTGAACCTGGCTGTGGGACTGGGAAAGGGCAGGGGCGAGAGGAGAAACTGTGAAGGAGCTAAAGTTCCACTGAATTTACTCCTAAGCAAATATACTTAGGCTCACCCTGTAAAATAGGGATATAAGAAGCCTCCCCATCTATAGATTTTTCTTAAAGGAGGTATGCTGAGCAGTAAAGCATGTTCTAAAGTTACAATTATATTTTGTTACTGCATCACATTTTCTACTTTACCTTTTGAAGTGGGAATCACATAGATAGTTCCATTGTCTGAAACACAGCTGACTATAGCAGCAAAGTGATCCGACCTAGGAATAGCTGGGGGTTTGTAGGCCTCAACCGTAACAGACTGAGTCACAGAGATCTCCAGTTTTTCCTTTTTACAGTGTGAAATGGAAGCATCAGGGACCTGCTCTGGTGCGAAAGGATTTGGTATACATTCTGCTTCTGCAAGCAAGACTGCATTCTTAGGTTGGAAATGCATTTCATGGGTTTTGTCAGAGGACACTGTGCTTGAGTCTGTTTTAGATGCCCTGATGAGAATTCAACAAAAAATGTCAACAAAGATAGATTTTTTTTAAATCTAACTAATGTTATTCTAGAATTAACACTTTTTTGGCATATTTTTCTGAAACACTGCAACTTAAGGTCACATTCCTTTCCATGTTTAGACAGATAAAAGACCTACACATACCCCAGTTGGAAGCTCTTATGTGGGGTCTAAATTCGTACAATACTGCATCTACAGTTACTCAACAGATCCCCCACAGAATTCTTTGCTTTGTTCCTCAGTTAAAAGAGTGCATTTTGTTTCCGCATGCTACATTATTTTATGAAGCTCCAAACAATGGGTTTTTGTCAAACTGCAACCCTGCTTAGCATTTAAAGCAGGTTTCAACAACAGAGTATCAAGGAGGCCATAAAATTGCGATGGCCAAGTAACTGTGGAATTTCAAAGGATTCTATACAAGATTTTAGTTGTAGAAATTTCTTTAAGTAATAGGGCTAATTAGTCCACATTGCCTTCTTATTAATCAATAAATTAAACTAAGCCTTGCAGTTGCAAGTATTAAATTGTAATGAAGTCAACTGCAACAAATGATGCATCAAGCACACACAATATAAACAGAAGATATATTTATATTGTTTATTTAAAGCTCTTCACATACAGATGCTCAGTAATTACAATAACTCTTACAGGCTAGGGTGGAAGGTTTGGAGACAACAGCACCTTGCCTGATGATACCTTGTGAATTTATTGCCAAGATGGCTGTTTTCAAAACCAAAATAAAACTCTTTATCTTGAAAATAGCAAAGGTATGCTAAATCCTACTCTAAACATCTTAAATATTAATAGCTACGTTTCACTGTAATGTTTAAAAAATCCATACCTTCTTTTTCTAAGTGCCATGCCTTCTTTAATCATGTATTCCGAAACATCAGTACACAACCCTCCTTCTTTGCTAACTATTTTCACAAGGAGAGGTAAAGACTGGCTTTCCTGAAACAAAACAAAATTTCTTATTATACATTTCAGATTCCTTTGCTCTGTGTCTTGCTATACAGAAAAAAATCTTCCCCATGTAGCAACTGGCTTATAAGCCACCCCAGCATTCCATGGCTTGCAGCTGGATTTATTCAACCCATGATGAGCTGAAATGCCATTCCAACCCAGATGACACAACCCATTATGGGTCAAGGCTTCCCTCACTGCCCAGCATGGCAGTGATCCTTTTTGGACCCACTGTCAAGTATCACCACCACTCAGTGACACACCCCAGAAAACAACCCAGCCAATTCATGAGTTTGCTGAACCAATTTTAGTTTTCCCATTCCACTTCCATGAGCTCTTCTGTCCTCACATTAGCAGCACAGAATGGATATTGCCCTAGCCAGACAGAAGCCTGAAAGAGGCAAATCCAGAACTGCTCTATCACTCCTCGCAGCAATGTGTATGTGTGTGTGTGTGTGTGTGGGGGGGGTGATACCAAATCAGAATATTGAGAGGGCAGGAGGTGGATAGGAACCCATGATGCACACAATCTTCTTTGGGGCATAACATGGACCCTCAGGCAGACAACGCACACTTTATGACCTGTGCTGCAGTCTGGCTTGTGAGAACCCTCCTCTTCAATCGGGAAATGTGAATGTTTTAATTTCATAAATTATATTTATATCCCATTTTCCAATACAATATTGCCTAAGAACTGAAACTCTTATTTGCCCTGAGCTCATAGCTGCTATCTGTAAACAAATGATATATGAAACTGTTAACCTGCGCTTTCTTCAAAACCACGATGGCTGAATTTCCCCAACACGATAACCCAGAATAGTCTATAAGGCCTGATGACTTGTCATATTGTGTCAGAATGGCTTAAAGTTGGGGTATTAAGCCATAGTTTATAGTAGGCTGTTTGACCCAGAATGGCTTGTTGACACAGGCAAACCCAAACCACAAGTTAGCCACCTGGCAAACCTCCTTGCTGCTTTTTTGAAGCAGCTACCTGAAGAGTCCCAGTGCTACCTATCCCTGAACTCCCCAAGCAGGACTTGGAGACAGCTGACAGAAGCTTCCCCCACCCCACTGCAAGCTATTTTGGGTTCACCGTGGGCTTTTTTCCTTTTGAAACTATTTTTGGGGAAGGGAGAAAATATTGCTTATCTTGGCTGTCAAGCCAGCTTTAGTGATACCCCTTTGAAGAGCTATGAGTTGTCCATCAAAGCACACCAGCAGTAACTCAGAAGAACTGCCCTGCATTAAAATGTGTGCATGTGTACACATGCATATTTGTGTGCTTTGGGTGAAAAAAAAATGGGTTTAGGGAGATCTGCAGCCCTTTTTCAACAAAGATCTTCTTCTTTTCTCTTCCTCTGAAGAAGCTGTCTGTGTCTTCTGGCCCTCAAGCATCTGTTACGTGCAAATCTGGTATTTTCTGTGACAAACCTGTATTATTAAACTGACCACAGCTCCAGTTAAGTAACTTGCTAGGACATCGCATGCTGTTGCTGTCCAATGCTCAGTCCCACCAGCTGGCCTAATATGAGAAGTTGGAAGAAAATAAATAGTCTAAATCATGTGCTTTTCTGTGTTTATACCACTTCTTCTAAGGATTAATTCTCCAGGCACGGCACATACATGACCAACAATCTGATTCAGAGTATTGTTTTTCAAGCAAAGTTTTTTATTTCTTGCTTTAAAAACAATGCAAAAGTCCAAAATATTACTGTCAAATATAGATGTCAACAGAGAAGCACTGTAAATATTTCTTCCCAGGGTGATTGTATGGCTAGAAAACAAGTGGTCCAGCAGACAAAACTTGGGACTAAGTAGGTAAGAGTTAAAATACTTGCTCAGTTGTGACACCTGCAGGCATGGGAGTCAACATATTTCAGACTTGCATTAAACAGGCAAATTACCTTATGTCTGTTAAGGAGCACTCCACGGCAAGTGGCCTTATAGTACTGAGATTGTGTGCAAGTTGTCTTAAACACACAGTATCCATAACCTTGACTATGCCAACATCTAAAAGGAACACCTGCAAGAGAAAATGAATGTAAGAAAAATATAAATCATGTCCTTCATAGGACTTTATTAGACCTGTCAGCCATTTAACAAATCTGATTGATCCTCTTTGTCAATCATTTTTCCCTATTAGCAACCTGTGAAGTATTTTCTTAATGTAATTCTGTACTAACAATGTATGCATTTTGAAAACAGATTATCAGTTTAGAGTGAAGAAATAATTTAGGTTTAATCTGGGTTACTGACCATATGTTATGTTTTAATTTTTTTACCTGATGGCTCTATTATCCAAGGTCCCTCAATTAACACTGCCTTCTTGCAGGAGACTCCATTACATGATCCATCCCCAGTTTTCCTTCATACCTCCTGCGTCAGTCAGCATTCTGTAGCAATGAAGCCTGCTTGATTCTCACTGGACTGGTTGGCGATTTTCTCCTAGTGTTTTTCTTCCTCTGTACTCCTGCAAACCTTGAAGATGGCTGATACCTGTGTGTGTGGATGCTTGTGGTTTTGGCTTCATAAAAATAGACTACTGGGTAACTGTTTGTATATGCTATTTACCTTCCTTCTGTTAATCACTAAACGAGTGTTTCCAACAATGAAACCTCTCTGTGTATGAACAAGAAGTAATTTTCCAAAAGTCTTTACCTCCACTACTTTTTCAGAAACTATCCTGCAGATCCGGCCTCTTTGCCATTGATTCAGATCGTGTACATAAGCAGCACAATTCATATCTATTTTCCACTGAACTGTTTCACTCACAGATTCAACATAAGTGGCAGCCATCTTTTCCTGTAAACTTAACATGTTAAACAGCCAAACAAGAGTGAGGAAAAGCACTGTAACCATTGTTTATGTCAGGAATAATGGGAAACAATAATTGAGAACATTGCATTACAAAATACCTGTAATTTCTCCTAATATAATTTCTAAAAGAAGACTCATAAAATGGGGCAAAAATGAGATTATAAATCAATCATTCTGCAGGCTCATTGACACCAAGCTCAGAGGGACATGGGAGTTGGGTGTTTCCTGTACAAACCCCCACAAAAAGCAGAAAACACAAACCACTTTTTGATTTGATTGGGGGTGGTGCTCTACCAAGAGCAATTTGGATCCAAAACAACTCCAGTATGGATTACCAGCCTTTTGTTTTCCTTTCCAGTTTTGGAACTTCTCTTATTGGTTGGATCCATTTTGGCAAAATAAGAGGTCAAAAGAAGTAAAAACTGAACTGTTCTTTCATTTCTTTTTTAAAAGAGAGAGCATACAAACTGAAAAGGAAAAAACTCCAAGGTTTGCAAAGATAATGAATCGGAAAAGAGAATAATTTATTATTTATTTAAAACTTTTATACCCCCTCCATCACTTTGATGTCTTGGTACAGAGATGTCAAAGTGACCTTGACATCTCTCTAATGACCTTGTTGCAGGAGAAGCTGGCACAAGCTCTGTCCTGGACAGAGGCAAGGAACGAATTAGGAGGGACACCACAGAGACTGGGACCATGGCAAAAATGTTTGATCACGCATTCCTTGCCCGCCCTGGGCAGTAAAAGGAAATAACCCATGGGGAATATCTTCTTGCTCCAAGTTTTCTTGCTGGGAAAAGAAAACTATATCTCAAATTCTAAAACTATCTGACATTCTAGGTGTTTTATGTAATTTTTCTTTGAAAATGCCCTCTGCTTTTTACTGATATTTTAACTTCCTAGGTTTGCCTTTTTGCTTAGTTTTGATTAGGTATATTATACTATGAATATATAAACATTTTTTTAAAAATGAGCAGGCTGCGAAATCTGTGTCAGCAGTTCCGTTCTGGGAAGAAATTGCCTTCTATAAAAACTAAAGATCTGAAGAACAGCATGCGGTTATTTGTCTGTTACTAATAAAATGATGCACTTCAACAGAACAATGTACTGTTCTCCTCTAAAAAGGATAAGAATTAAATAGTGCTCTGCTCATTTGAGATTACAAGATTTTGTTTCTATGATACACATGTACAAAACCCAGAAAGGACATTCATCACGCTTGGAAACATGGAGCAGGTGATTTCCCCAACAGCAGCACTTGAATCAGTCATGACAAATTAACCACTTCTAGGCTAAGAAAAACTGTCATTTAGTCCTGTGGTTTCCACTGAGAATGCATTCACAGTGTCAATTTCCTTCCATACCTTTTCAGAATTTGTTCAGATGACATAAAAAACACAAAGATCTTGCTTGGAGAAACAACATGATTAATCTTCACTTCCAGTTCTCTGTTACACTCTAATCTCAACTCTTCATACTGTGACAAGTCTTCCTCCTTAGGTTTCAATGCATCTCTCTCAGGTTTTAAGATTTCCTCTAAAGCAGGATCCCACACTTCATTGTGGGATCTGGTAGTCTGGTTGCTGCTTTCTTCTACTACAGAATCCCATATGTTCGTATAGGATCTCAAAGCCATTCTTGTATTCCTGTACAAAACAGAATTGCTTCATTTAGATTTTATCTATCACAGAAGTGAAGCAGAAATGGTTTCCCCCAAGCTCACAACACCAAGGCTGAAGCAATCAAAATATATGTTTTAGAAAAAAGTTTCAAGCACACATTCCAAGTAAGATTGACTGTGCTGTCACAAATTCACAGAACAACATACTCACCTTGATATATAAGATGCTAGACCTTCTTCAACCAAAAGGCTGTTAACACTGCAGGGCAGGTTTGGTGATACAGATACACCTTCATAAAGCTCAACAGACAGCACATTGTCTTGCAATTTCTCTACAAAGGGACAACGATTTTACATTCAATTAACCAAAACATAAATTAGCAAAGAGGATGATGTTCCAGTCTTGTTAATACATATGGTCTGAAGGCACAGAATGTATCCACCAAGTTGAAGCTAAGCAGGTCTGGGGCTGCCCTAAGCTTGGAGGAGAGACCACCTGGGAACCACATGAAGCCACCTTGAGTTCCACAATGGGAGAAAGGTGGGATATAAATATAATAACTAAACAAATAGTTTAGGGACACATTTAGCTGTGCTGCTCTGTGTCGCTTCATGGTGTTATCACAGAATCATAGAAATGTAGAGTTGAAAAAGGCCATCTGTTCCAATTCCCTGCTCCAAAGCAGGTCTCCAAGTTGCAGCACAGTGCTTTTATTGCTCTTACTGCTTTTGCATTTTGTAATCCTCCTTGTCAGGAAATAGTCGTATTAAAAAAGTAGGAAAGTAAAAATCAAGGCCAAAGTGCTGTGGTCTACTGCAAAGTCTTTGAGGCTGTTACTTAACACAGTGTGATGGTTACACATGAGTGTGGCAAGATCCAGGTCTCAGCATTAGAAAAAAACCCTGGATCTTCTGAATTGCACCAACTTTTTCGAAGGTTCAACTTTTTCATCTCATTTGTTGCCATAGCAATCCTATAATGTAGGTGGAACAGCATGACTTCAAAGTACCTAGCTTATTTCAGAGGTGAACTCCAAACACTAACCATCCACGCACCCTATCCATACATGATTAAGAGCCAGGTTGACTGACTAATGGATGAGGTCCCCTGCAGGGTGGACATAAGCGACCACCCAAGTATTCAATTTAAGAAAGAGAGGAATCTGTGCTAGGCCCTGGAAGACCCCTAAATCACAGGAGCAGCAAGTAGCCCTACTACTTTGGGGAAAGCTTAACAAAATGTGTGGAACCTTATACCAGAGAACAGAGAATGCATTCTTTGATTTTTGAGCAAAGGCCTCCTGTTTGCTTTTCTAATACCTGATAAATTACTCTGTAAATAAGTGAATACTTACCAGTAATAAAACAGAACATACATTTGTCTTGAATCAATTCTTGAAATCTCTGTTTGGATTTAATACTCCATTCATTCAGTCCTTTACACGGTTTAATATGAGCCAGCTTGCACTTGATGGCCTAAATTAAGAAATATAAATTGGTCTGTTTAGCTTGTTTATGCCACCCTTTCTTTAAAGAAACATCAGAGATGTTTACATACAAGTCTGACTGATATCTAATCCACGTCTCTAAATTTCATCCTTACTGTAGCCTTACCTACTTCCAGATTCATCACAAAACCCAGAGGTACCCACCCCCCACTTAGCTATTTGTCCCAGTCCTATAAACTACCTTAATTGCCATTTTTTGGTAGAAAGGTAGAGTACAAATAAAATCAATACATACATAGATAAATGTTCATGGGCAAAAAAACATGAACAACGAAATCTCTTAGAGCAAGTTAAGGACTAACAAATTTATTATGGCATCAGCTTTTGTGGGCAATGACCATTCTGTTATATTTAAAACACTGTGAAAGTCTATTAGACATAGAAATATACATTATATTCATATATTGTTAGGAACTGATTTGCAACCTGTGCTAATAATGCTTTGTTAGGTTTATTTGGCATTTATAGAGTTTTCCACTGCTTTAAGTAGTTGTAGGTTACCTTTTCTGGGAGGATTATAAACTCATCTTTTATTTTGCGCATGTCTTTGACATTTATTTTAGCAGTATTGCCAAAGTCAACATATTTCACCTCAACTTCTTGATGGCCCGGCAACCCTTTGGAAAAGATTATGGAATTAAGAAGCATCATACATTTATAAGCAACATTTGTGTGCATCTGCGCCAAGCATTCTTACTTAGACACACACACAATGCTCAAAGTGAATTAAGATGCCATCTCACTCTCTTTTCTCTCACCACAGGCACAAGACAATTGTCAAGTACTCGCAAAACCCCACACAAGAGTCAGTTATTTCTGATGTCTTCTTATTTCTATTATTAAATTATCTATTATCTATTGCTCTACAATAAAAAATCACCCAAGGCTAAAGACTGAGGGTCACTAGAGTTGATACAACTCGCAGAACAGCTATCTATTTTCGCAATTTTGCGTATTTAATTTTTAAAATCAAAGCTTATTGTTTTGGCCAAAGACCATGACAAATACAGCAAATATACATATACCTTAAGGTTCCAGAATTTCAGATATAATGGCAAACTATGGTTAGAAGAATCAAAGCAAATGAAGAGAGCATACAAGAATGAGAACTAACAAACCATAGTTTGGCATTAACTGCATGTGAACCAATTTATCATTGCTGATATATAACTATACTCACAAAATCTACTAGCGTAAAGCTAATTCACTACCATGTAGGCCTAAGAGAATGATATCTTGCCTTGATTTATTTTTAATTACAGTTTCTTTTCCTGGTAGCAGTTTGTTCTACCATAGAAATCAAACTGTTTACAAAATACATTGTTGAGGAAAAGACAAGACCAGAAAAGAAACCTATTTAATGGGTAAAAGGATTCATTTTGAAAAAATCTATGTATGGCTACCAAGCACCTATTCATATATTCTAATTTTAATTCATACATGCACACAATATAATAGTTTCCCTTGAAAATCTCGTAAGTGCAGGATAAAATCCTTCAGGAACAAAACAGTTCAAGTTTAGTCAGGTGAGGCTTCCTTACTGTTAGAGCAATACAAAAATAAAACCAGTTGCCCACAGAGGTTGTGGGCTCTCCCACACTAGAAACATTCAAAAAGAAGCTGGACAGCCATCTGAGTAGGATGGTGTAAATTAATGTCCTGCAACAGCAGGGGGGTTGGACCCAATGGTCTTCATGGCCCCTTCCAACTCTACTATTCTATGACTCTAAGTTACCTACCTATAACCTGTGCTCTATACCAAACTCCATCATCTTCAAATCTTGCTATGCATGGTTGACCTAGGATTGGACAGAGAATTTCCAAGCCAACTTCACCTTCATTTTTATACATTTCCTCAACTTTGGTCAAAAAAACTGCAAAATCTGGACCTTCTTCCAACTGTTGCAATACAAAAAAATTCCTATAAATTCCTATGTAATTAACATTAGCATACTATGTTATACAGAACATCAAACTGCTGCATTATACACCTAAATAACTTGTTTTACATCCAAAAAAAGAGTTGTTCTTATCCGACATGAAGAAATAGCACACAAGCAAATAGAAAAGCACACCCAAGTCAAGTTGCAATATACCTTCTTCAAGGATACTCCATTTCATTCCTCTTCTGCCGTTTTTTCATTTTTCCTCAACAGCTTTCTGAAACTGTGGAGTTACTCTTAGTCTTTCCCTAAATGATTTTTTTAAACTTCTGCAAACCTTGCTGTATCCCCAGGCCTGCCAATACTCCCTCTTTTAGGTGGGCTCTGCCATTCTGGCTGTAAAGTAATCCATACTCACTCTTCTCCAGGCTCGTGTTTTTAAGAAGTTCAGAAATTTTGGTTAACCACTGTTTTAGCTGTCATCTAAATCTGACGAACTGTGGTTAATGTGAACTATAATTCAGCTTCAACAAGCCAACTTCAAACCATTGTTTCTGAAGATAGCTTCTTAAAACTAACCACATTTAATGTTAACCACAGTTCTGGGTCCAGTAAACACAAGTAACTATTGTTACTTGTGGTTATGGTTAACTAAAAGCAGAATTTTCCAGACACCTACCCCTAGTCATGCAGAAGGAGACTAGGTTTGTCCATGTCTCACTGAATCATAGTTAGCTCATGCCCAAAGGTAGCCATAAAAAGTGCACTGATTCATATTAAGTCAAAGTCTTCTAATCAATACAAGTAAAAATTAATTTTTAAACATGCCCATGTATCAAAGAAATACTAAAAATATATTATCTTTAGTGCCTTTTATAAGACTGCAAAACATATTGCTTGGACTCCCAGCAATAACACATAAGGATTTTAGGAAGTATCCTACAAGAAATGTGAACATAAAAAAATCAATATACTGAACAATACTTACCAGCTGAATATAGAAATCTCCAGGACTATTAATGTAACTAACAACAACTGGGACTTCTGTATCTTCCTGTGGTATCACAGGTGGAAAATAGTTCAAGGGTACATTATTCTCAGATTGATCAGCAAGCTCAGTCCGAAAGCTAGTAAAGTTTCAGAATGAACTATTAAAGTTAGTTGTAAAAGACAATGATTGTCAGTGGAGAATTTCAGAAGTTAGTTCTAGTGGAAAAATTACTGAACATTGCCCCAGCACTGCAATGTACTTTTACATAATGCACAAACAGAACTCAGGGCATATAAGTGTTTCATTTAACTTGCAATGACATCTATTAAATTCTGTGGAACAGAATCAATGGTCTGCATTTGAAACAAAGCTGAGAACATAGCTCCTTAGAGTCTAACGATATGATATGCAACAAATCTACAATTGGATCCTTTTATTTTAAAGCAGTTATCAGGGATGTAAACATGATAAATAAAAGTATGTAAGCTCTTTTCCCATCCTGAAATCCCATGAACAGCAAAAAACAAAACACTGACAGGTATCATAATGAATCTTCCATGTAATATTTGACTTGGCCATCAGATCTGGATCTACTAGGACAGCTTTAATTGCATCCCAAAGGTGTGTTTTTGCTTTCTCCCATGCCCCATTCATTTTTATGGAAACAATGGAGCTGCTTCTTATGCAGACAACATTTTGCAGAGCACAAAACCTGCCTGTCGACAAGATAATCCCATGATGGGGTGGTAGCACCAACTGTCTCCCCTGCAGGGTTGTAGCAAGGGACAAGGTGTTTCCGATTTTCTCCCTACACCTGCCTGGACTGGGAAGGACAGAACTCTCCCTTCTGTTCCAACTAAAGCTTCTCAAGGATTTCTCCTCATGAGGCATTTAAACAATCAAGTCACCATGGTTTCTTCAGCTTTTTGCAGCAGGATTGGAGCATTCTCCTTGGCAAGTCTCCCTCTTAACCAGGAGTCTTTGTTTATGTACCTCTACATTCTATGAAAACAACACAAAAGTAGAACAATGGTACACAGAGGAATTGCTAAATTATAGTAGGCTTCCTTAGCAAATAATGAAAGCAACCAAGAAAATGAATTAAAAAATCTGCAAAAATGATTAGAAAACATTGGGAAGAACTAGGAGAATTCTTCATAAAAAGAACTCACAAACTTTTTCAACTAAAGGATCACTAGCACATAATACTCTACAGACATCATGGTCTATCAGGCTGACTCTAGTGTTACTGTAGGATGGGAAATGAGAGAACTGATTAACTCTCTATTCCTCCTCTCCCTCCAAACCAAATTTTAAGCAAGGTTTTAGCTGGTGGTATTTAAAAAATAAACCAGGTGCTTCATGGCCAAGTGGAAGTTAGCTCTTACCTATTGCATTCTAAATTATCAAGGAAAATGTTTTGAGGGGAGATGCTTACAGTGAACCTTCACTTTAGAATATTTATTCATAAGATTCACAAATAAACTGCCTATTTTGATTTTGCATATGGAAATTCAAAACAGGAGATGGGATAATAACTTGAATGAAAAGTAAGTAGCTATAAGTAGTTATTCAAAAATATTGATTATTATTCAAGTAGAATAAGTAGTTATTCAAAAATGACTTGAATGAAAAATAAGTAGAGGCTTAAATCTCGATAAAGAACTGGAAAGCAAGAGTGATTAATTATGCTAGCAGCCCAAGAAATATAAAATCTATTAACCTCTACAGAAACAAACAAACAAAAAAAAAACAAACGAAACTCATCCACAACGTTATTACATTTACTTGAGGCAAGCTCCCTTGATTCTGGCAAGATTTAATTTTAAGTGTATTTAGCATAACAACATTTGCAACCAAACCTTCTCAGGAAAAACAAACACATACCTTGCTAAATCCAAAAAAACTAAAGCATCCCTGAGGGACACAGGCATGTCACTACTTATTTTGTTTGCTGGAGGTTTCATCAGATCTACAATTAGCACACCATCTTCTTCTCTGAACACTTTCATTAGAACTGCTTTGTTATTTACCATTTTCAAAAATGCCGCCCTTGCGCTTCTATTCCAACCTTCAGTCTGTTGTGGAGACAAAAACAAATGCTTCAGTGCAGAATTCCAGTCACCGGACAAAACTAGCAAACTTTAGAAATGAGATATTTAGAACTATCTTAGGTAAGAAAAAAACAGTTTCAAAGATTGGAAGAGATAAGCAAAGCAAAGAACCTTGTTATGGTTGTTACAAAGGTCAAAGGAAACTTGTAGCTAGAAATTAGGTAGGGTTAAAATTCTCCCAATGTGAGAAAGATGAATGAAATTCTGACATTGTGTCAAGCCATGATTCTAAATCCAACACTAATTCTAAATCCAAATAGTTATTTGACTTTCCAGCTACAGGACAGGCAAACCGTTGTTTAGAGCAGCATGCTGACTTTCATTTTCCATCCCCTTAAAATTCAGACATACAGTTATTACTTACTGAATGTTTTGGAACAATGTCCTTCAGGGAACACTGTAGTGCTAACTTATTTATACCATGAAGTTGTCCCTCTATAAGTAAATCAGGCTTCCTTACAACCAAGCATAAGTCTTCAATCATGACATAGTCTAGCTTGACATGTTCTGGATTTACAATAACTTCATTTGGTATGCTGATAACAAAAAAAGAAATGTTTATTATTTCTTAATGTAGGTAAAAAATAGTTTGTTTGAAGGAGGTATGGCTTTTTAAGACTTCTTAGAAACCTTGAGGCAGAAATGACTAGCAGAATAAGAAGGCATAACTAATAAATCTTATAAGTTATTCAAATTTGGGCTAATTAAAATCGCTTGTGGGATAATCTGGTTGTGTCATTTCTACCTTTCCTTGACAGGAGAGAGAGTTATTCCATTATAGAATGCTTTGTCATGCCACCCCATAAGCAACCAAACCTAAGCTCCATACTTTTAACATATTGAGAGATTATGGCCAATTCACAGAGGAAAACTTCAGAAATCAATACGGCAAAAACTACACACAATGGAAAAATAATGGTAGTAGAACTACTCATACCCTGAAACAATTAAAGCCTCAGGATGCCCGAAGTCTACAAGGAATACTTTCATCATTGCAATATCAGTGATTTTGTATTTTGCTGGACCACAGGGCTTCCACTCATTTGTATGTTTCAGTGGAATTAGTTCAACAATGTTTGCACGGCACCACATCCTGTGTTCTTTACTTTTAACAAAGATTCTTGTACCTGAAATAAGTTTAAAAAAACAATTTGTTACCACTTACCCATATTTACATGGAACAATATCTGTAGACAAGCTAAACGAATACTAAGTTAAAGAATCTAAACAAACCTTTTAAAAACTAGTCTAATTTCAGAGTTCTCATTCCCTTTATTGCTGTAGCCACTTGACAAATGACAGACAAGATTTTCAAAGTAGGGGGAGGCTAGAAACTGCTTGCCAGCATCTATTGTATCCCAATTACCCTACATATTATCTAAGACTTTCAGAAATCTGTTTATAAAACTTCCTGGGCAAGGCTGCATACCATGAGAACACAGGGGTGGCAGCTCCTTGAGTCCTGATGTGCCAGTCAAGGAGCAGGGCACAGAAGGGCCCCCGAACTACCCCCGTCCCCACTCTTACTCTTTAGTCCTCTACCGGAATCCTAGAGGATAAAATGGGAACACCAAGGTATCCCCTCTTTGCCACAGCTTGCCAGCAGGGGATGGGAAGAGAGCATGGATGGCTCATAGCCATCAGCCTATCTCTAGGATAAGACTCACAAGCCATGGTGAAGGCTGTTGACACGGCTTGAGAAGAACCAAGTATGCCATAGTATCAACTCTTTTGGGGGGCTGGCATAGCAGTTGCACTGATTAGGCACTTTGAGGCAGCTCTCATCTGGAGCAGCATAACTAGAGTGGCAAGGATTTCTTGCTCCTCCTGCCACATGGTTCTAGGCTATCCCTGAGCTTGCCCAAAAGTGGCTATGAAACTCTGGAACAAGCATGGAATGTTGAGGTGACGTAATATGCCACCCCACATAAATCATAGCAGTTTCTGGAAACATGCTAAGCTACACTGGCTGAGAAGCACAGGCGGTTTAAAAAGTTGCATGAACCCAGTCAACATGCATTAGCAATTTGAAAAATCTAGCAAGAACCAGTTCATCATTTTACCAAGGGTGTTGAAGTCCCTAGAAATTCAACTGTGAACTCCACATGGTAAACTTAGGGGTTTCTATTTTCAGATTTAAACCCAAATAAGATCAGAGGCCTGAGACAAAGTCTGAAAAATCACTTAGCAAGAACAACATAATGTTTACCCACTAGCTGAATAAATTATGCAAATATGTAAACATAATTAGTCAGAGAATTTCAGAAACACTATTACCAAGTTCCAAGATGTCGCTTGGGGATGTGTTTGTAGTACTACAAAATGACCTCAACATTTTTTCCAAATGAACTGCAGTTTTCTTTTGTGAAACTTTCCGAACGTAGAAATGGCAAGGATTTACCACACAGCTAACAAAAACTAATTCTGTAGAGTCTGCATCAGAAAAAGCACATCATAAAAATTAAGAATGATAACCAGAGGCTGCAGGCAACCACTGTATGCTACTATATTGACGAATATCTGCCTGTTCACTACTGTCAATATATGACTAGCATATTAATCACTAGAAATTATAAAATTTTAACACCGTGCTCATATTAGCTAGCATTCCAATATTATATTTTGTGATATTTTATAGTTTTGTTTTTGTGAACTGCTGTAAACTTCCCAGAAAGCTTCAGCTATGGGATGGTACAGAAATGAAATAAAAAAACCATTCTAGGCACTACAAATTCTGGATCAAACCAAAGACTTAACTAGTCCAGAATTTTGTTGTCATAATAGCCAACCATATTACATTGTGTCCCGCTTTTTCCCTCTCACAAGGAGATCAAGATGGCTTACAGTGGTCCTCAAACTTTTTCAATAGGGTGCCAGTCAAAAGGCTGTGGTGACCATTGCGGGCCGGAGAGTTGGGGGTGCCGGGGGGCTTGGGCGCACGCGAGGCGGCATCAGGCACACGCAGCAGTGGCTTGCTCGCTCAGAGATCTCCGAGCGAGCAAGGCACCACTTCCCCGCCCACGCTGTGAGGCAGTGGCGAGCACGTGTGTATGGGAGGCTGGCGGTGGCAGCTTGCTCGCTCGATCGCCCATCTCCAAGTGAGCAAGCCACCACCTCCCCGCCCACGCAGCAAGCATGTGTGCGGGCGGCAAACAGTGGCACGGGCCGGATGGATGGCCATGGCAGGCCAAATCCGTCCTGCGGGCCATAGTTTGAGGACCCGTGGCTTCCAAGGTTCTCCTCCTTTCATTTTCACCCTCATAACAACCTAGTACTGTGTTCCATGGAAACAGGTGATAAGCCACACTGCCTTCAGTGGAGGAGGTAATTCACTGCCAATCTCTAGGGAGACAAACCAGAACCCCAAATGCTGTTACAGGACTCAAGCTTACCCTTCTGAATCTTTCTCATAAATTGCCCACTTCCTTCATAGAGCCAGCTCACATTTAACAGTGGCAAATCATTGGTTATTAACATGGGATTTCTCAAAGCATGTTCTGTAGACATCTTGAATAGTCAGCCCCCAATTTGAGGGTTGCTATGTGACATCTGAATCCCAACATGATTGGCTAAGCCCATGGTGAATCTACAATTATTAATCATGTTATCTCTTTAACTCATAATTAACCTAACAATGGGTTCTGAATATCATATGGCAACCCAATCAGCAGCTGAGTATTCCAAAAGGATGTGGAACATTCCTGGCTCACACTGCAAGAAATTGTGGGCTAATTAACCCACAATTTGCCACTATTACATGTAAATAAATCCAGTGACACCTAGAATTATCAGTAGCATCACTACAGAAGGAAAAAGGTACAGGAAATAAAACAATCTTTTCTATAATGTCATCTTTGGCTGCTTCCTTAGTCTTAAAAGTTGCTCTCCTTAACAAAGGAAGACACTGGCCAAAATTATGAGCATGTCCTGGGATCTGATGAAGGCATTTATAGCAACAGAAAAAGCCAATCACAGAAATGTAGTCAACAGCCTATTGCAGGATCCAGCAATTCCAAGGTGACATAAACAAGTACATGAATACTGCCTCCTAAACAAGCACACACAGAATGAGGCACAGAGAGAAACAGAAACCTTTTTAAAGTTTCAGAATCAGAGAAACAGCAGTTTGGAAATGTTAAACAACAGCCAGCTCAAAGCTAAAATTCTAATTCAGCTTTAGAATTTTAGATGAATTACTTTCACTTTACTATAAAATTGGCTCAGAATGTAAACCCCAGAAACCCATTAGAGGGCCTCACTTACATACCTGCTTTCAATCCAAATGGCTGCAGCTGTTTTTGGGAAACTGTTTTCTGGTATTTATCTTCAGAGAGCTCTTCAGACCACACTTTCAAGAAGTTGAATGTAATTGTTACCATGTGTGAACAGAATATTTCCCATGCTATCCATCAAATAACTGAGGCATTGCCCACCTCCACCCAATTACAGAAGCTATATGAGAATCCCACTAGTCAGTAAGTATCAGGTGTTAAGGCCACCTGAAAATCAGACTCATTGAGCTGAGAAGAGTTTTCTATCCAGCCCAGGTAAGTTTATCTCAACTTACTACTTGTTAATTAATTCCCATAGAGCTGCCAAGGCCTGCCAGTCTTGGGTTTTTGTTTTTGCAGAGGTGTGAGGTTTGAGTAGCATTTCTACTGAACTCTGATTATACTCTCTAAATTTTCAAGTATCAAACACAACTCTCAAATACAGTAAAACCTAGGATTGCGAGCATAATTCTTTCCGAAAACATGCTTGTAATCCAAAGCACTTGTATATCAAAGTGAATTTCCCCATAAGGTTCAATGTAAATAAGGGTAATCCGTTCTGTAACTGGTTTGTTTTTTCGTTTTTTTGAATCACAAAAATCTGAAGCAGGCACGCTTGGGGGAGGTGGGAGCAATTGCGGGTGCGCTGGGAGGGGAGGGGACGATGCTGTACTCACACCCGCAACGAGAGAGAGAGAAGATCCGGCGCTCAGTTGTGACTTGACGCTTGGCAGGCAAAGTGCAGGTAATATTCGTACTGCAAGACGTCACTCGTTTATCAAGTTAAAATTTAGAAAAAAAAATTGTTCGTCTTGCAAAACACTCATAATCCAAGGTTTTACTGTAGATGCATGCTTTTCAAACTGAAAAAGTTACTAGTTCATTACTCAATAGGATCATCATGTTGAATTGCCATTTCTGGAATGTTCCACATACTAAGTACAGACACTGCATACCACCAAAAAAAGGCACACAGTATGTGGCTCTTTATGAGCTGCTGAATGCCAGGTCTCATTTACTGATGCAACATAACCTTCAAAAACTAGACAGGTTTATAAAAAACAAACAAAAGACGCAGGAATAAAACCCCAAAACCCAGAGTACTGGCAATGAGGTTAAAGATCAACATAAATCCAGTAAATATTTCCACTACTAGAACAGCAGCTAGAAGCATTATAAGTACACAGGGAGAACTAGGGAATAAAGACATTAGCTCTATCACAGATTAATAAGCCATCTGCCCAGTTTCATCAAATATGTTCTTCTAATAAATGAAAAATACTTAAGACTCATGGTGTCCAATGAACAGCTTCATATAGCCTGATTTGAACAAAAATATTTTCTAGTATATCTACATGTACGAGATCTAACTACTTTCCATGGTTAACTGTAATCCTAAACAAATGTGAATGGATATGACAAAAAATTAAATTTTATAAATCCTTCTAGAGCATTCTGAATGTTTTTGCTGTGCAAAGTATAGGCCTGTTCTTGACATTGCTGTGTTAAGAAACTTGGTATCTATAAGTAGTGGTGTACTTCAGAAACAATGAATGTTCTGAAACAAAGAAAGGTTAGTGATGACTCACTACCATTGAAAAGAGCTACTCACTTTCTTGACCATCTTCAATTATTTCTTCAATTATGACATCTGGAGTAGATGCTGATTGAGATAAAGCAACAGCATTTCTCTGATCGAGCAATGGGGCTGTTTTTTGGAGATAGCTGTAATTTTCTTGAAGATATGCACCAGATTTTTGCAGAGTACCAACTGCATCAAGTTCTTTTACCAGTGATACTTGTTTTATATTCATGTGACTTGGAGCATCACTTTTTGATTCATCTTCCACACTGCCCAATTTTAGAGGTCTGCCCTCCAAACTCTGCCTAAGTTGACAAATTGCCAGAGAAAGCAGATCACAACCAATAAGAAATACTTTAATACATAAGACCAAACACTACTGAAATAGTAAACTGCACTTTGTTTTCAAGAGACGCGCATAGCATAAATTAAGAGTTCAACATGCCATTTTCGAGATTATGTATCTCTGCAGTGTAAGAAAGTCTGTTTCTGGAAAAATGATCACAGCTCTGAAAATAAACTTATCTGGACAACAGTACACCAAAATGAAAGTAAGGGACTGTGCTACCAAACAGAAAATTGGGAGTTATCTTTGTGACAGGTGGTGCAAAAACTTGGCTTTATACTTCTTTGCCATTTTAACCTTCCCACTGTGTTTCACATCTATTACATATCTGTTGGCTAACACACTTCAATTAACTTGATGCAAGGAATGTCAAAACTGAGAATTTACAAAGTTACGACTACAAACAGGAGGCAGAACTATACCCCAGAAAGTAGGTACAAGATATGTACCAAATGTAACAAATACACAGCACATAGATACAAATGGACAAAATATGGATTCTGTACAAACAACTAGGTTCAATAATGTATCACTACAAGCTGACAAAGTAAGTTAGCCTCTGGCGATGACATGCATAAGAGGTAAATTATTATCACGCAATACTGCAACTATAGGCAGCAGTATATTTCAGATCGTTTTTTCAACCAATGCCTATTTGTTGCATCTTGTTTTGTATCCAAAGGCGTGGTTCTAGAGGGGCAAGATACACAGGAGGTAACCTTATCCAGAGCACAGATAAACCATTAGATTCCTTCTTCCAAGGCAGACATATTGTTTCTGGGCAGTTTGCTTTTTCTTTATTTCAATACATGCCTAAATAAAAAATATTCTTTATGTCAAGTACCAGACATAAAGCAACCCCTCAAAGAAGATGGAGTACAGTAGGCACTATTTTTCATATTCAGGAAAATACTTACTCATTGGGGATATCATAGGAAAATTTCCCCAGGTTTTCAAGCACAGGGATAATCCTATCACAATCCATGTAAAACCTGTCTCAGAAATATAATACATGTCTTAGCAACATATACCTTTTGGTCCATTTTATATAGGCAACACAACTGGGTACTGATAATTTTGTGTTACATATTGAAGGAAGATGATATTCAATTAACCATTCTTGCCACTGAAATAGCTCCACCAGGAGCAGTTTCCCCTCCTTCCTGCTACCCATCACAAATGTTCCATTTAGATGCCAGGAAGCACTTCCTGACAGTTAGGACCCTGAGGGTATAGAATGGGCTTCCACGGGAGGTCGCTGAGGCCCCATTGGTGAGGGTGTTCAAAGACAGGCTGGACATGCACATGGTGAACATGTCATGAGTGGAACTGGCTGGAACTGGGGGGTCAGACTAGATGGCCCAGGAGACCCCTTCTGACTCGCTCTGTTTCTGTGTTTCTAAATGCTCATACCTAACAATCTGGTCCATGGAATGGGGGACCTTCCAAAGAAGGGGAAATGCAGAGGAGAAGAGGAAATTCCTATGGCCCACAGACTGCAAGTGAACTTTATGGAATAGTGCTATTTGCCCAGCTCATGCATTTCTTAATGGAATGTCACAACTATTTTATACCTGTAACCGTCATTTTGATGTCATCCACAATCCTTATATGAAAATTTATTACTGCAGCTTAGGAAACATTCCCACTATCCAGTTAGAGGAATGCTTCCTAATATATGGATTCACTCCAGACTGCATTATGTGAAGATTAAATTAAGTATCATCAATTTCTGCAGACCTACTCCAAACATAACTAGAGCAAATCCACTACGTTTAGGACGGCAGATTTTAAAAGTTACTAACGCATTTTTAGTGAACAAACAAAAATTAACCATTCCACAATAGCTACAACACCAGTACCTTGGAAGTGTTCTTTTTTCCAGATTATCTAGTTTTAAGACTTCATCTTCAATTGTCATTTTTAAGTTGTGAATAACCTAAAATAAAAGTCCTAATTTAATTTAGGGTAAAATATATCACCTTCTGATACAAGAGCATGGCTTACATGTATGCGAAATCAGCAGTTTTATTTTGCACCATAGTTATGCACAGAACTGTAGCAACTGGGCCCTCTTCTGCTAGAATACAGCTTTCAAAGTTTGTTGATATGGATTCGAACTCAAAAGTGATGAAAAGGCTGGAATTCTCATCCTGGGTAGGATTTCGGGAAAGGACTTTTAAACTAGTGTGGCAGTGACCAAAGATATCTCGCCTTCTTTTATCTGTTTTGTCCTAATCTGGTCAAGAGTATTTGTGACTTTGTGTTCTTTTATCAAAACACTGGACTTCATGTCCTCAGTTACTCACCACCAGTCCCACTGGTTCTCAAACTTTCTCTTTGTTGCTGAAATAATATTGGCTCCACCTTCCCTAAGGCCTGGCATCCCACTCCTTTTATAGTCACCTGAGCCTGATTAGCTCCCACTGCTGAATTCACTTTCCAAATCCAGAGAACCTAGGACTGTCCCAAAGAGCCTCACTAAACCTTCCCTTGAGTTTAACTCTTGCACAAGCAGAAAATTAAGCTAGCGGCCTTGTACAAAGCCTTTTTTCCTTAACAGCCATGCAAGTTCCTTCACATCCACCAATGCCTGAAAGAAAGGCACAGCAGGCAACTTGGAGAGATACTTTGCAAGTTTTTAAGAAGGTTCTTTCCCCACCAATTAATATTGGTGATATTAATCACCTTACCCGTTTTTCTACGTGTCCCTCTGTGAGTACTGAAAAGCTTTTAATATATATATCTTACTACCTTTTAAACATCTCTTTAGACCCAAGCTATATTAATGCTTGTTTTATTATTGCAAATATATCTTATATTATTGAGAAAGGAAAGACTCAGATGGAAAGCACAGGAATATAAATTAAAATTAAGGCTACCTGATTTAAATTTTGGCAAGATTTTAAGCAATGTGTTGCTTTAAGCTCTTTTGCTGTCTTGATGGCTGCATCCAAGTTGCTTTTTTTCTGTAAAACTGAGACCTGAATGCTACGTACTTCAGTTATATAGTAACTGGTGTTCATTGCCAACTCTGTTTCTAATTTCCTTTTCCTAATTAGAAAAAAATGAAAGTTAGACCTAAAAAAAGCAGAATATACACTGTAAAAGGTCAGTTGATAGCTGTTTTGATAGCCAATTACATTATACATTAAGAACCACATTACATATTTTTATCATCTATGGGACACTAAATTTAAGAGTCAACACTCCTTGCCCTCAAGACACACAACTGACTGTGAAAACAGCTTAAATTTAGTATCATCCACCAAATTCCACAACTGCACAATCTGCTTCCATTGCACCACTACCTGCTACAAATCTTTGCAAAGTAAGGACAACAGCTATTCATGTCACCTGTGCTTTTAAAAATTAACCATTTTCTTTATTAAATTATTCAGACATGAGAAATTTGTTAGCCACATGCGATTACTCCAAACCAGTGACTGGTAATAGAATTGAAAGCCATCTGTAGAAATCATAGGTGAGAAGAAAGGGGAGAACAAGAGTAAAGAAAAACTGGAGGCTAGATGTTTTACAATATTCTGGTTTTTTATATCAACAACTGTTGTTGATATGGAAAAAACAGCAAAGTAACTGCATTAAGGCTTTCTATTATGGCGGCAGGGGTGTATGTGGAATTTCCATTTTGACTTATGATCAAAGTCATGTATTCACAAAAACGTCAGAGGAAAAACAATGTATGTCTGAGTTCACAGGTGGACTATACCTCTCTAGGTTACCTGTACGGTGTACCATCCCATTCCCTTTGGCAGTCCTTTGCCATTGTGATAATGAGTAACTTATTTTAGCACAGTGGTGAAGTTACATAAAAAACCTCTATTTTATACTTACAAACTTTAAGATAAAAGACTTACTACTAAAACGTTAAGTTTTACCTTAAGTTTAGAATATCAACCAAGTCCTCAAAGTTGGTATTAAGAACACATGAAATCTTGCCTTCCTGCTGCTTTGCTTCAGTGACGAAGTCTTCAAGCACCTTTTTTTCATTTTTTGAGAAATGACAATTAAACATAAACATGTGCTAGCTTTCTAGGCAACAGAATTAGAGCTATTCTTTTTTACTAGAATAAACAATGCTCCACAGAAATTAGCAGGTTTCACTCCCTTTTCCTCCATTACTTGGTGGGAACCTAGAGAAGTAGAAGTAACCTAAGCATTCCAAGTATTCTAGTGCTAGAACCTTTTGACCTTGTCTGCATGGAATACAGAGTGACAGGCAAAGGAGGGACAGAGCTCTACATCCACCTCTAGCAGCTCCTCTTTTCAGTAACATGCAGACAGTTTTTCCTCTGGCAATTAAGCTTCCTGGGATAATTTACAAGGTTTATCTGGTTAACTTGTATCATCCAAGGCCCTTGGAGCTCAGTTGCTCATCTGGCTCAAGTATCGTTGAAGAAAAGATTTCTGGGAGCATATAAAAGTAAAATCTAGAGTATTTCAAGCCAAAATAAAATCCTTGCCTACCTCTTCTATACTCTTCAAGCACTTAAGATTGCTTTTAGCTTCCTCCAAACCTTCTTCTACCTCTTGTAAAATTTTGCTGTCCTAAGAAAAATCAAAAGGTAGTACTAAAATTGGCAAACATGATTTTAAACACACATAAAAACCTTCAGTCTTATATTCTCATTAAACATTGAATGTCTGAGAACTTTCTCCATTCAACAAGTTTTAATAAAGGACAAATGAATTAAACTTAACAGAACCAGGAAGGTGCAGAACAGAACCCCACCTCAAATCCCCACTTTAAGCTAAATGATCATTTATGATATGACAAGACCCAGAAAGTGGATTATTTATGGTTTTCACAGTCAGCACTTTACTGCTTTTCAAGAGCACCTAACAGCCTTTCCACACAATTGTTTTCATTCAATAAATGCAGAACTGCTAAATGTCTGAACCCTACACAAAGCATTAATTTAATGGAAACATGTTTTAAGGCACCTTCCCCAACCTGGCGCCTTCTGGATGCTCTGGACTTCAGCTTCCATCAGCCCCGACCAGCTTAGGCTATGGCTAAGGAATTTTGTGAACAATGATCCAAAAGATCCAGAGGATACCTGCCTGGGGAGGGCTGCTGTAAAGAAATTGCACTTCCTCATCCCACGACTCTATTTCTTTGCTCTGTAGCCCTATCTCCTCATTTCACGAAACTTTTACTCTCTTACATTTATTACTTAGTTCTCTGGAACAGAGAAGACTGATTTAAATCAAAGTGATTAAAATCAATATAAATCCCCCCCACAAAAAGCAAACTTATATTAACTTTCTCACTGATACTCCACTTTTTTCCTGAAGTTCCTGGATCAGAGCTGGTATTAAATGACTAATCAAAAAATCTTATCATTGTGGTAAACAGTGTTGTGAGCACATTTCTTTCATCTCTTTTCAGGGCAAAAGGCTTCTAAACTATAGTCTTTATTCAGCTGAACTTGCTGTACAAAACACAGTGAGTAATAATGAAGTTATGGTAGCATCCCAGCTATGGAACCTGCTCCCAAATCATTTCAGTGTCAGGCCAAAACCTTATTTAACCAGTGTTTTAATGACTGAATGGTTTTTAATGTATATTTTTATATATTTAAGATTACATTTCATTTAATGTGCTACCATGGTTTTTGTATTTTGTAAGCTGTCTAGATACCCATTTCTGATATCAAGATAGGTTAAAAATGTTTAAAATAAAGCACATATCAAAGAAGTGATCTTTTTGATTGGTAGTTAGCTCTTGCTCACTTCAAGAGTTAATTCTAAACTGAATTCCCCTCCCCCATCTCCCCAAAAAGGATTGGCTCTACACTCAGGAAAGTTCATGCTGCTGGGGACCAGCAAACACCATTACATTGGTCCACTGAACAGGACCAATACCTCCCTGTCTCACCCGCTTTGTTTTATAAGCATCTCTCCCCAAACCAGAGACCATGTGGTTTTCACCAGTTGCTTGGCTAATCCTGCTTGTGAAACCTTGGTCTTCAGTAATGGATTTCAATCCTTCTTCATCTGGCTCACCTTCAGAGTCTGAGCTGCCTAGCCTAGAATGCTTTATTTATGAAAGAAGCAGGCCAAAGCACTATAGACAGCTTGATGAAAACATCAACCCAGTGCATAGCTGCTGAGAAAAAGGCAAAATCCATAAAATAATAAGTTTTATCATTTATAAAATAATAAATTTTATCATTTATAAAATAAAAAATTTATCATTTATAAAATAATAAAATTCTATTCCTAACAGAAAACTATAGAATAGGGAGGACCAGAGATCTCTTCAAGAAAATTGGAGATATGAAGGGAACGTTTCATGCAATGATCGGCATGATAAAGGACCAAAATGGCAGGGACCTAACAGAGGCAGAAGAGATTAAGAAGAGGTGGCAAGATTACACAGAAGAACTATACAAGAAAGAGCTTAAGGTCCCTGATAACTAGGATGGGGTGGTCACTGACCTTGAGCCAGACATCCTGGAATGTGAAGTCAAATGGGCCTTAGGAAGTCTGAGCAACAACAAAGCTAGTGGAGGCGATAGTACTCCAGCTGAGCTATTCAAAATCCTAAAAGATGATGCAGTAAAAGTGCTACACTCAATATGCCAGGAAATAAACCTTAAGCCTTCTTAACCTTCTATTAATTCTTCAATTCCAATCAAGTATCAAAGGTAAATAATATTGTTTACATACCATATCTGTTGTAGATGTCTCCAAAGCTGGATTCTTCTTCTCTTTAATGCTTCGCTTATAATTATTAATCCTACAAAGTCAGATTGTTATGTTTATGAACAAGAATAAGCTGCCTTTAAGAGCACACCCTCTCCGAAAAGGAATCTTTCATTTACCACCTCAGCATTTATACAAGAAACAGCTATTTCACTTCCCAAATTTTTAGCATTAGAACATCAAATTACAAGAAACACCCTGAGCCAAGAGAGGCGATCCTGCCATTTTGAAGAGATGACTATTTGCTCCTTCTTTGCTCCTTCTCTAGCTGCAAATGGCTGTTTCCTGGCAATCTTCTCTTGGCCTCCAGCTGATACACCATCAGAACAAATTGGATATACTTGGCCTGGCAAACAGCAGTTCCTAGCACCATTAAGTTATCCTAGCAGGGTGAAACCAAAGGGGCCAACCTTTGGAATGCAGTGAGAGAGCTCCTTTTTCTTTTTTCTGTTGCATGGTTGTGCACTTCAATTCACAGCATGATAGGAGGTGGTCCTTAGACTTAGGAGCTACTCCCCATGATGGGTAACAGCCAAGATGAATGGGCTTGCATTTCGTGGCTATTTCTTCAGGATGGGACCCTATGATGGACAGAATTCCCCCTGGGTGAGAGTCAGGAGTGATGGCAGGAATTAGAGATGACCAAGAGCATTGACAAAAAAATTGAGGACTAACATTAAAGCACAAACTGTCTCATTGGAATACCTGTAAACATTTAAAGACAATAGGAAGTATTCCCCTTACACTGCATGAATCTAAGAAATATATCCTCCCCCAAACTGATGCCTCCCAAATATTTTGGATAACATTTCCCAACATCATTCAGTCAGGATGCCAGATTGGGTAGGATAAGAATCATACTCCGATATCCTCGGAGGGCCCAAGATTAGGGAACACTGTCCTAATTAAGTTTAGCAGCCCAAAGAACTGTGCAAGTTATGCTGACAGGTACTCATCTATTTCAACAGAAGTCAATTCTCTTCCACTGAGGCTACGGAGACACTTTCCAAGTCTGCTGTCACTACTGACTTGTTCCATTTCACCAAAGACATATATGACAGTCTGATACATACCTGCTAGGGATAATCACCTAACAACATTAAGTACCAATTTTAAATACAGTGTTTCAAAGTTATAATCAATCACTCTTACTAATGAACTTACGAAATGGAACATTTCACATAGAATGATAAAATGCTGGAAACTGTTCTGCTCCAGGTCATTGATTATTATTCATTGTGAAAATTTCTAGCCCACTTCTTCTTACTTCCAGCCATCCAAATGTACAAATTTACCTTTCAGATGTCTCCAAACTCCTCATATGACCCTTTTGTTCAAAATCTAAGATCACCTACAGAAGAAAGAGAAGTTAAATAAAACATTTTCAGGGTTTATAATTTTTCTTTATATGCTTCATTTCAGTTTAAATATGTTTTGTTTCATTTCAGCACTAGTGATATAAACTGAAATTCTATAGCTTTATCTCAGCATGTCCATGCTGTATGCCTGACATTCCATTTCATTCGTTTATTGCTATACTATTCAATAGCATTGTTCTCTGGCCAGTTTATGGTGTTTAACAACCTTAAAAATAGAGGGTCATCCATAATATTAAACCTATTTGCATATAGAGAAAATGCAAGTAATAATTTTAATGATCAATAGTAAGAAATCCCAGAACATAATTAAAAACCTTATTGCATGCATGCTGCCAAATGCATGGGAGTGGTGGTGGGAGGGATCCTGCAAGCAAGATCTCCTTGGATTAACAAGGGCAGTTCACAGCTGCAACAGCATCTCTTTGTCACTGGAAATGAGAGCCCAGCTGGCTGAGCTAAAGCTGGAACTGTTGGAAGAAATGTGGTACAGCACCTCTGGTGATGGGTCAGAGAAACTTCTGAAAGGCAGCTACTGGCAGAGGATCCAGCAATGGTAAACCACTTCTGAAGAAAGCAATGGTAAATCATATATTACCCTATGAGGAATGAGAAATGCCAAAAGTCCAAACTAGATTCTGAAAAGGTAGAGGCACTGGGGATCATACTGCAAATATACATTGGGTACTGGAGCACACCAAAGAATTTCAGAAGGACAGTCTGTGTTATGTTGTTGTTAGTCGCGAAGTTGTGTCCGACCCATTGCGACCCCATGGACAATATTCCTCCAGGCCTTCCTGTCCTCCACCATCCCCCAGAGTCCACTTAAGCTCATGCCAACTGTTTCAGTGACTCCATCCAGCCACCTCATTCTCTGCTGTCCCCTTCTTCTTTTGCCATCTGTTGTTCCCAGCATTAGGCTCTTCTCCAGTGAGTCCTTCCTTCTCATTAGGTGGCCAAAGTATTTGAGTTTCATCTTCAGGATCTGGCCTTCTAAAGAGCAGTCAGGGTTGATCTCCTCTAGGACTGACTGGTTTGATTGCCTTGCAGTCCAAGGGACTCAAAACTTCTGACTGGGTGAATCATGAGAAACAATGGATGATCCTGAAAGAAATGGATGTACCTCAGCGCTTGATTGTCCTAATGTATAACCATGGACAAGAATCTACAGTTAGGACTGAATACGGAGAAACAGAATGGTTTCCCATTGACAAAGATGTCACACAAGGATGGTTCCTTATCTGTACACAGAACTTATTATAAGGAATGCTGGACTAGAATCAGTGGAAAGAATGAACATTGGTGGGAGAAGCATCACTAATTTAATACCATGTTACTGGCAAAAACAGCAGTGACTTGAAATGACTCCTGATAAAAGTGAAAGAAGAAAGTACAAAAACAGGATTGCAGCTGAATATTAAGAAAACAAAGCTTGTCCACAGAAGAATTATAGAACTTTACTGTTATTAATGAAGAAACTGAAATTGTGAAAGATTGCACATACCTGAGCTCAGTCATTAATTCAAAGGGAGACTGTAGCCAAGAAATTTGAAGATGAGATATGGAAGGGCAGCAATGAGGGAACTAGATAAGATCATCAAGTATAAGGGCATTTTACTGAAGACCAAGGTTCAGATAATTTATACTATTGTATTCCCAATCACAATGTATGGGTGTGAAAGCTGCACAGTGAAGAAAACTGACAGGAAGAAAATAGATGTATTCCAAACATGGTGCAGGAGAATAGCAAGACAAACAAGTGGGACATAGATCAAATCCAGTCAGAGTTTGCTCTAGAAGCAAACATGACAAAACCGAGACTGTCATACTTCAGACACATCATGATAAGGCAAGACTCAGTGAAGAAGACAATCAAGATGGGGGAAGTCAAAGACAGAAGATGAAACTGGATACCAAGAGATGGATTGAATCCATAAAGAAAGACTTGAACTTGGAAGAAATGAATGGGACTGTCATGGACAGAACATTTTAGAGGGCTTTCATTTATAAGGTTGCCTTAAGTTGGAGACAACTTGATGGCTCATAACAAGAAGAATCAGGCAATTCTCCTTAAAGAGATCATTCTGTGATAAAGGAGGGCACCACCAAGAAGGCCCTCTCTCTTGCTGCCATTTTCAGAGCCACCTTCTCATGAGGAACCTGCAGAAATGCCTTCACCGATCTGCATAATACATGAGCAGGCTCATTGTAAGCATGTTCCAGACCCATGTGCCAACTCTGCTTATTTCCAGTCATCAATATCTTTGTGAACTCCTGAGATAAACATGGATCTTCCCTCACTTTTAAGGAAAATGAAGCTAGATGTCTTCCCACACAGCACCGATTCCTGCACTGTGCACTGAGTTGGACCTGATGGTTTAGCTGCCCTATTCAAACTCTATTAATATAAAGATGCTGTAGTGACTTTGTGGGCCACGTAAAAATGCAAAAGCTTTGCTGGATCAGACAAATGGCCAATCAGATGCCAAAGAGAAGTACTCACACTCGACTTATGGTCAGTTGTGCTTCGTTTCCCAGAAACTAATATACAGAAGCATACTGTTTATTACTGGAAAAAATAAATAGCCAACATGCCTAGCGGTAATTAATAGCCCTATTGTTTATGAATTTCTCTAATCTCCCTTTAAAGACATGCAAGCTGGTGCCCTGCCCTATATATTGCTGTAGTTAATTCCTTCTTTTAGCTATGCATTGTGTGAATTACTTCCTTTTGACCTTTTCTATATCATCTTTATTTTCAAGGGAGAACTCTGGGTTCTAGTGCCCTTAATGACAGTAACAGGCTTTATGGCGTTCTCTACATAAGCTATGGTTAGGCTTTCTTTTTCTTCAGACATAACAAAGAGACTTGTCCCACTTCAAAAACTAACACATTTATTATGACAAAAGCTTCCATGGACTATAGTCAACCTTAAATATGCCATTTTGACATGTGTTGAAATGGCTTGTCTAAATATGCAAGCCTATACATGCTTCCTTGGAAACTGCTCAGTGAAGCGTGCTTACAAACAAGTATAATAAGATTGCAGTCTAAGTTTTCTTAGGAGCTTAACCCATCTCATACAAAGGTGGGTGGGTGTTTCAGGAATATCATTACCAGAGTTGAATTATGAAAACCTTCAACCTTTGAAATGCAGAGATAGAAAGAAAATCATGTAGGCAGTATAAACCCCCTCCTTATCTTCCCTATATTGGCAGGCATAGCAAGGACAGACTTGGCACCTCTTTAAAATTCATTAAAATGTTACTTTCTTTTATTTAAGCTCTCTACTTATGTTATACTAAAGCAACTTATATTTATGACTGGTGGGATGGGGCAGAAAGTTTTATCCATAATATATTTATAGTTGTCTGGGCTGTGGTACTGCAATCAGTCATGGACTACATATAGGATACTTTTTAAGTTATTATGGAAGATGAGCATTAACAAACCCTGATACTCAGTTGTCCAAGAGAGAACTAAAAAAAATAAGGGGGGACAACCCCTTTTAGCACATCATGTTGTTTGTTCCTGGCTGGGTCTGGACCAGACTTATACATAGTGCTATCTGCCCTCTATTACTTTCCTCAGTAACAAACTGAAGAAAAAGATGCAACTAAAACTGTAATCACTGTTTAATCACTGAAATCATTTATAACATAACAACAACCCTGGGTCAGCCCAAGAGTCCATCTAGTCCAAAAGAATGTTGACACAACAACCAACCAATTGCCCATGCAAAACCCACAAGGATGCCAGTGCAGCAGCACCTTCCTGCCCAAATTCCCTTGCCTGTGTCCACACCCATCATTTAGTGAAACAGAATGTTCAACTAGTTGTTCTGAATCTGGTTTTTCTCACTTGAAATGGGACCAGCAAACAATGCGGAGAGTGAGTGAAGCAAAGAAAATTAAACTTAAATATAACATTTGTTGATAACTACCCAGAGAGCTTCAGCTATGGGGTTGTATAGAAGTTAAACACCACCACCACCACATCAACTTTCTTTGGGTATGTATCCTGAAAACAATGTATTCTTTCAAGTATACTAATGTTTGTCTTTAAGAAAAAAATAAGAAAATATACTATTGTTTTTAACATTCTCACAGGCATTTAAAGGCAATATTTACCATGTAAAGTGTTGACTATAACATTTAAGCTATAATGTGTGATTTTAATTTTAAAAACCTCCAATTTTAAAAACCTTTAATTTTCCTCCAAGCGGGTATTTCAGTTCAGATTATTTTGTAGCTATTGGTAAAATTTTGATATAGTTATGCTGCATATAAATTAACATGGATTACATTTTTAGTTCTGTTTGCTAAATAAAAAGCATTTTGTGTACTTATTTAAGGAGAATGTATTGGGGAGCAAAAATGAGTCAAGCACACATAAATGAGACAATGTTCAGAGCACTGGACAATTTTCCAGTTTACTTTTACCAGCAGACCCACATCATTGACTCATGCTGTTTGCACCAACTTCACAGTGCCCCTCCCATATATTCTTAAGTGTTCTACTGCAAAATCCCCTTTCATTTCCAAAGAAACTAATCTAATTACTTTTGCAGTATAGCTGTCTTTTTTACTTATCCTACTTGAGTTCTGAAACTTCAAACCTAAAAAAGTATACAAGTTGGCATACTATTACCTATGTTATTGAAAAATTAGTATCACAAATTAAAAAGGACTGCAGTTCAAGACTGACTTTTCGAACATTCATTTCAATAATTCTACACTAACCTATTGGAGGATTCTTCCCAGCCAAATTGTTTAAAGAAAAAAAGAACAGAAAAGTATGTTTATCTCTGATCAACTTCAGCATTGTTTATGTGGGCATCACCAAAAAAGCCATAAAGCTTTCTGGGTGATTTTGGACCAGTCACCAACTGTCAGTCTGATCTACCTTGCAAGGCTCTTGTAATGATAAAATGGAGAAGGGCCATATAAACCACCCTGGATTCTTGAAGCAAGTTCAGAAGCAGAATATAAATACCATAGACTAGTCAAGTCTGAGATCAATCCCTGGAGAAATTCTGGAGGAGGCTATGAAGCAGTCAATCTGCAAACACTTTGAAAACAATGCAGTGATTACTATAAGCCAGCATTCCTCAAGAACATATCCTGCCAGACTAATCTGATTTTATTTTTTGACTGCAAAATCCCTGAGTGACTGTGAAAATGCTATGGATATTATTTTGACTTCAGCAAAGTTTTTGACAAAGTGCCCTATTACAACCTAATAGCAAACTAGATAAAAGTGGACCATATCTGACCACAATCAGCTGGATCCAGAGTTGGATCCAGAGTCAGACACAGGGAGTGTTCAATAGAACGTTCTCAAACTGGGGAGAGTAATGAATGGGGTACTGCAGGATTTGGTCCTGGGCCCAGTACTCTTCAACATTTCTATTAATGATTTGGATGAGGAAATGCAGGGAACACCCATCAAATTTGCAGATGGCACAAAACTGGGTGAGATAGCAAATACCCTGGAAGACAGGAAGAAAATTGAAAGTGATCTTTCTTGATAGGTTGGAGCACTGGACTGAAAACCACAGAAAAAAATTTAAGCAGGAACAGATGGCAAGTTCAGTACCTAGGAAAAAGGTAATCAAATGCATTGTTTTATTTTTTATTTATTTATTTAAAACATTTCTATGCCACACCCATCACAACAAAGCCTCGGGGCGGCTCACAACATTGTTATAACATGGAGGATACTTGGATTAACAATACTGAGAAGTTTCTTAGAATTCTTGTAGATTAAAAGCTGAATATAAGTCAACAATGTGGCTGCAAATGCAATTTTGGGCAGCATTTATAGAAGGTACAAGCAGTCCCCAGGTTATGAACAAATTGTTTCTGTGAAAATGAAAATTTGCCTTTAAGTTGAACAGGTAAGATGGATCACATATAGTTAGCCCTCTACATTTCCAGGGATTAGGGGTGCAAGACCCCTGTAAAAGTGGAAAAATTAGTACTATCTCTACTCTTCCTCTGCCCAAACTCACCAAGGCCATCTCCTTACAATAAGGATTTCCCTCTCCAGATGGGCAGGGCAGAAAGGCATGCTTTGGAGGCCTCCCTCTCTGCCCTTTTGCTTCCCCTCTCTCTATGGTGCTGATGATTTTCTGCAATATTTTTTTCAAAAATTAATAGGCTTTATGGCAGTTTGTTCATAAGTACAGGTTGTTTGTAATTTGGGCATTCTTAGCTCAGGGACTGCCTGTATAACTTCAAATCATACGAAGTAATAGTTCTCCTCTACTCATGGTTAAGCCTCATCTGGAGTACAGTGTCCAGTTCTGGGCAGCACACTTCAAGAATGATGCAGACAAGCTTGAAAGGGTTCAGCGGAAGGCAACAAGTATGATGCAGGAACTGGATCAAAGTTCTCTGAGGAGAGATTGAAATAACTGAACATGCTTAGCCTTAAGAAGACTGTTGGGAGATATAGTAGCACTCTTCAAGTCCTTGAAAGGGTGTCACAAAGAAGGCCAGGATCTCTTCTTGTTCATTCCAGAGTCCAGGACACAACAGTATGATCAAGTTACAGGAAGCCAGATTCTGGCTGAACATCAGGAAGAACTTCCTGTTTGAGCAATAGGGCAATGGAACCAATTATCTAGGGAGGTTGTGGGCTCTCTCACACTAGAGAGATTCAAGATGCAACTGGACAGTCATCTGAGAGAGATGGTTTAACTTGGGAGTCCTGTACTTAGCAGAGGGTTGGGCCCAATAGCCTTCTTACCTCCTTCCAACTCTACTATTCTAGTACTAAATGTTCAAGTTTTGCCCAGATTGGAGTAGGTTGGATAGGCATCACCGTCTCTCAACCACATCGTCTCACCATGGTATGATTGAAAATGAAAGCACAAGTGCAGAAATGGCCTACTGAAGCTATAAAGTCCTCACACACTGGGCTCCCTACTGCCACTCCTATTCCCTTTGGGTGTGCCTTTCATGGGGTGTAACATAATAGGCTACAATCGCAAATTTCTCTTCCATACCCCTAAAACTAGAAATCCTTGGAAGACTGGCAAGATGCTCCCCCTTTCTTCTGCTTTTTCATGGAAGCCCCATTCAACACTCAAAGCACAAACGTGGACTTAATCCAAGGCCCCAGCAAATTCGACATTAATGACCCAGATATATTTTTCTAGGATTGTGACTCAACTCAATAGAGCTTGCTTCTGAGTAGGCACTCGTAGGTATCAGAGGATATGGAGCGCATTTAGGCTTTGCAAGCCACGAGGCCTGATCCTACGCGTGTTTGCTCCGGAGCAAACCCTACTGAGTTCAACAGCGCAGGATCCAAGTTGCAATCCTGGTCAGGCTGACTTGGCTGTAAGCCCCGTGGTCGGATCATATTCAGGTTTACTCAGCACCAAGACTCAGAACGCAACTAAGTGTGTTCAGGCAGAAAAGTCCCACAACATTCTCTAGCCAGCACGCTGGAAATTGCCAACTGTTTTCTAACTGAATACACACAGCATTGCGCTTTCTTAGCTTCCCACCGCTAAGTTAGCACTTTGCGGCCTCTGCTGGTCGTTCCGTACACGCTTCCTCGGAAACAAGTCTCACTGAACGGGGACTTACTTCTGAGAAGGAATGCTTACTCTGGCTCTGTTCTACGCTATGAAGCAGCCGCCTGCACCCCACCCTTCTGATTTCACAGCACGTGCACAAGCGCTTACGGGAGCACGACGTATTGGCATTCCGCGCTGCCGATAGCCCTCGAAACCATCTTGCCGCTGGATCCTGCCTCGGCCTTTCTGCACAAAATCCGAAAACGACGCCACTTTTACGTCTTTCCCGTACCGACTACACCTGTCTTCCGACTGTAGAAGCAAACTGACCGCTAAACAATCAACCACCTAACTGGCACGTGCATCGACTTCTTTTCCATATTTCTTGCGCCCGCCTGCCCGGCAATTTATCCAATGGTAACTTCCCGGCAGACTTTCTGCAGCCAATCGCTATATTTCGAAAACCGGCGCGGGAGGGGAGGGACGGATGGGCTTAAGGAAAATTCGGCTCTTAGCTAGGCTGGAAGTTTCCATAGGGGCAGTAGCAAATGGGAAGGAAGCAAAGGGATATGTTTTATAATGTGACGTACAAATCAGTAGGTATAATTTTCACGAGGTGTTTATTAATTACGAATTGATAGAAGTATGATTGTGAACGTCGTGATTTATTAGTTTTGCATTGTTCATTTTATTGCAATTTTATTTGCAGGATGTCGATGTTTTCTATTCTAAAACGGCTAGAGAAATTGGTTTTATCAATTAAGTAATTAAATGGCGGTCTTTTGCACATAATTACACAAATCATTTCGCAACATTAGTATTTGCTATTTATTCACATTTCGACCAAAAAAAGAATGGCTATGTTGATGTTGCAGCCATCTAAACTTGCCAGGTAGTGCAATTCTTTAACCATTAGCTGAAAAAGGTTCCAGGGAGGCTTAGAAAGTTCAATAATAAGCTAATAATAAATAATTGTTTTATATTGTATAAGTCCATGAGTAAAATATGTTTCTGTTGTATATCATGCCATCCTCACTAGCAAAAGTGGTAATTCTCTGAAGTGGGAGAATGCCCGACTGTCTCATTTGCAAGCCTTGCATTTTATCCCCCCCACCCCCAATCCTACAAGATGTAAACCTTACTAGGCAAGTTCATGCATACCCTCCTAATAAAGACTGGGATACAAAATATTATTCTATGCATTTCAAAAATGGTACTTTGAGAGTTGGGTTGGCCTATTTTTTTAACTCTACTTTCCCTCCCTTTGAAAAACAAACTTCTGTGTCATAATACAAACTGCTCTTGAAATTCCCATTTCAAAAGAGGTTTCTGTGCACAGCTTACAGTTCAGGACCTTAGCGACTTTAAAGAATACAGAATTAATTGTGTAGTTTGGGTCCATGTTATTTATTATTATTTCTGCTTTCCCCCTGGTTTCTGAAAAGCCTTTGCTCCTACAAGTGGACTGAGCCAGACATTGAGCTAGCTCAGCTAATGAAAAGATTTCATGCAACAATTCCATCCTTTTAATATCACTGATTTTTATATGAGTGTGCATGTATGATGTATTTATTTCCTGCCTTTTTATTCTACATGAGATGGCTTTTAACTGGTCATTTTACTAAGTTTTCTATTTCCAAATTCTTTGAGGGATTTAGGGTTAAGTTTAGGGTTTATTCTCATGGTTTTCTTTCCTTGCCTTTTTATATGTTCCATTACATTAAATTAGATAGTGCTGAGCAAAATGCACGAAGGCTTCATGCTACCATTTAAATATATCAGACTTGCTAGGAAAAAAAGAAAAAGAACAACAGCAACAAAATGCTAGTAACCACTCAGAAAGCTTTGACTGTAGGACTCTAGCAAATAAATAAATTCCAGATTATGCAGATTATCCCAGTCTACCCTCCTTGAGTCCTGTAGTGCATCCCCCTTGAGGCCCAGGTAGACCTTCCTTGAAGGCTCCTTGGCTGATGGGCTTTATGATGCTTATGGCACCTCAATGTGTCCCACTTCTCCACCATTCCCATCACTATCCTCTCCACTACTAGGACGGATGCCACCATTTTTGGTCCCCAGCCACCTTGCCCCATGACAATTCAAGGCTAAGCTCTGTCCTAGGAGCTTGACTGGTACTGGAGCTTCAGGCCTGAGTTGATTTGTTTTGCTACTGCTTTTTTACAGCTTCTTCAGTGTTACAGGGATCATGCTGGGTGCTCCAATGGCCACTACGGCCATGTTTACCTCACAAAGCCAGTCCATTAGAATGGGTGTTGCAATATTAAGTTTTGCTTTCGATTTTTAAAAAGGTAATTACAAATTTTGAACACAAGATGGCAGAATGGATTAGTGATCACTAGATTTTCTGAGAAATAGCTATTAACATTCAGCAATATCTGAATAATTTTGCTTACTTTGCCTTGCCCATTATCATCTCAAATGAGCCCACATTAGATAAGATTTCTTTTCTCAGAGACAGACACAGAAAGTGATCTGTTACTAAAAATGTTACAGTAGTTTTTAAAATCCACAATATTACTTTTCAAGGTGCAGTCCTATGGTTTCCCACATCTTCTGAGGGGGACACAGGATTCTTCAGAGTTGCAGCACTGCGGTTTTCCAAATCTCAGTGCTCAGCAGTGTACAGCAGTATCCTCCACAGCTAGTGCAGAAAGAACCACTCCAAGTGGGGTGTGCTGGCATTACGGAGACTTGCACCATCCATGTTTGCAGATTCGTATCGGTGTTTCAGCCTGCTTCCTTCTCATTCTCCAGGATGGCCAGAAACAGATGTCTAGATAAAATGCACAGGGCAAAAAATGGCCATGGTGGAGATGACTGTTGCTGGGCCTTGTTCCAGCCATTAGAGGTTTACATGCTTCTGTGGAGGATGGGGGATTGGCTTGCTTCATCAGTGGCTTTGAAGAAGCATTTCTGTACAGATGGATAGTTTTGTGTGGTTTTTTAAAAAATCAGATGTGTTAAATATTCTGGATGGCAAGGATATGACTCTCAATTATTCAGTAGTTCATGGGATCATATGAGCAAATGGTGTGGAATATACAGTGAGAAAGAAAATATTAACATATATTCATCCAATGGAGTCTTCCCACAGTCTTAGAAGGTGCTACTATATTCATAAGGTGAGCAATAAGCATTGATCTAGTTTAAGCTACTAGAAGGAATTATCCTGTGTACTTTTGACCTGGTTCCTTTTTCATAGTCAGCTTTTTCATCTCTGCCTTCACAGGATGGACCCAGAGTATGGTCTGAAGCCACAGAAGGCATCCGCCACATTGAACATAAACAGATCTGGGGCTGGCCTGAACATGGAGGGGAGACCACCTGGGGACTACATGTAGCCATTCTGAGTTCCTCAAGGAGAGAAAGGTGGGATATAAATACAATAAATAGATAATTTGGAAGAAAAATGCATGTTGTGTGTATCAAACTATCCAAGAAAAGAATTGAACACTTGGGTGAGAACCCCTGTGCATCCAGAACAATGTGTGGTTTGCACAATCATCTGCCATCCTTCCAACTTCCAAAAATGGTAAAAAGCAGAAGTGAACAAGCTGTATATGCATCTATTCTTGTGCATTTATCTATCATGTATTACTTTGTAGTTTCATTAGTGCATGCACACAGTTCTTCCACCAAATTCTAGGATCTTTATTGTCTGAACCAACCCATAGCAAGTTATGAGGAACATTCAGAAGAAGTTTAAAAAATCTAGATGATCTTATTAATATTAGGCTGTATAATTTCTTTAGATAAAGTCTGGGGAAAACATATATCAGGGATGCTTTACAGTCATTCAAAAAAGAAACTGAAGGCAAACCAAGCAGAAATGAAGAGCTGGAACCAAAATGGAACCTGCTGGGAGTAGGTGGTACCACATTGCAATGGTTCCATTCCTACCTGGCTGACCAATTCCAGAAGGTGGTGCTGGTGGATTATTGCTTTGTATCATGGCAATTATGCTATGGAGCTTCTCAGTGCTCTATTCTATCCCCCATGCTATTTAACAGTTACATGAAACGTCTGGGAGAGGTTATTAAGAGGCATGGGCTGAAGTGTCATCAATATGCAGAGGCTCTACCTCTCTTTTTTAAATCAAATCCAGGTGAGGAAGTGACCATTTAAAATCAGTGCCTGAGCTTGGTAATGGACTGAATGAGGGCCAATAAGCTGAAATGCAATCCAGCAAGACAGAGATGCTGTTGGTGGGTGACTTGTCCAGTTGGGAAATTCTCAACCTTTCCTGCATGGGGTTGAACTCCCCCTAGAGTTGGTCATTTAGGGATGCTCCTGGACCCAGTATTATGCCTTGAGTCACAGCTGGATTCAGTGGCCAGGGGCACCTTTTTTCAGCTCAGGCTGAGGTTGGATCTGATGGCCTTCATGTCCCCTTCCAGCTCTACTATACTATAATTCCAGCTATGTCCCTATCTAAACAGATGGAGTCTTACCACAGCGATCCATGCTCTGGTGACCTCTCATCTGGATTACTGTAATGCACTCTGCATTGGGTCTTCCTTTGAAAATGGTCCAGAAACTTCAGTTGGTTCAGAACAGGGCAGCATGGCTCATAACAAGGACTGGCCCATGAGATCATATCACGCCATCCTTCCGGCAGCCACACTGGCTACCTATCTAAATCCAGGCCTGCTTCAGAATGCTGAGATCCCCTAAACTGTTTGGGCCAGGATATCTGAAAGAATGCCTTTCTCTGTATGTTCCTACCCAGTCATTCAGATCCTTTGTGGAGTTCCCTCCTCAAGAACCAACCCATAAAGAAGTAAGAGGTGGTGACAGGCCACAGAGAAGGGCCATCTCTGGAACATGTTCCCCAAGGAGGGCAACTGGCACTGAATTGTTTTCTTTCTGGTGCCATGTGAAGATTTTTTTTTTACCAGATGCTGTAATGGATAGATTGGCTTTAATATTGCTTTTATGTGATCTGCTTTTATGCCATATACTAATTTTCTTAATCACCAGGAGTTCTCAAGTTGTTGTATTTATATTTATTGTTTTGTACTGTTTTTATTGTTGCTATATGTTTTTTATCTGTAAACCTCCCAGAAAGCCCTACACACTATGGGGTGGTATACAGATGTAATAAATAGATAAATAAATTGAAAGAATTGTTGCTAAAATGGCCTCCCTCCCCCCCTCTCCCTCTACCCCTCCCCCTCTCCCTCTCTCTCTCTCTGTGTGGGGCTCTAACCTTATATTTCCAACTGACTCCTGAGCCTTTGATTTGTGTAGAAGCCATCGGGAAGGTAGAAATGGTGACTGAGAAGAAGCCAGAACTGTAATGGATAGGCCTGTCCTAAGAACATAAGTCATGCTGAATGAGCCCAAGGCTCTTTTTAGTTCAATATTCTGTTGAAACAGTGACCAACCAGTCAATGGAATACTACCTGATGTTGCTGGCTCTCTTACATTTCAGCTGTTTTTAACTGGTTCCCCTTTTTTCATGTCGTGTCGGTAGGAATTTCTGCTACTATTTTAAGCATTCCAGAATTTTGGAAGGCATTTTCCTAGGCCCAGTTCTGCATTGTCTTTGACTTTGAGCAACCCTATAGATATTTTGGCTTGCAACTTCCATCTTTCCTTTCTCTAGAGTTGACAGGAATTATAGGTCAAATCAAAGTTTCTCACCCTTCCTTTATTTCAATGAGGCATAAGTATTATTAAAAGAAACCTCAAATAGTATTTTTGATTGCTGAGCCTTGAACCCCTAAACACAGGGGTCTCAAACTCAACTTACCTGGGGGCTGCTGGAAGTAGAGTCTGGGTGAGGCTGGGCCACATCAAGTATTCCACCACCGCCGGCGCTTTGAAGGCTCAGGGCCTTTCCCCCATGTCCTGCCCATCCCAGCAATTGGCCCGCAGGCCGTGAATTTGAGACCCCTGCCTAAACATATCCATGCAAGAAATTATCCTCTGTATTACCTATGAGTTTCTTGCAAATACTTAACCAAAAAACACACAGCAGGTATAGGACAGCTGAAATTTTTAAATTCCCTCAACATAAAATGTACCTAACACAAAGCCCCCCTGAACCAATTTGTTTAAAATATGATGTGATTCATCACCTCAGAAAGGGCTACTATGCCTGCATATTTGATCCGATTCTGCTTAAATAATGCAAAAAGATGTGGGCGTATTGTGATTTGCCCATATAACTAAATTGGAAATGCGAACAGTTTTCTTTATAAAACAAAGCAACATATGCCTATGAAGCAACAAAATAAAGCAGCTTTGTAAATAATGCAACAAATGCACACCTGAGCTTCTGATGATCGTGCAACCCTAATTAATCTTATGGGTGTGTCTTGGGATGAACCATACAAAATTACATCTTTTTTTGCTCTGTAAGTATTTGACTGAAAATACATGGTAGATAAACCCTTCTATGTTTTACCGCCAAGATAACAACTGTGTATCAATTAAAAAGTGCCACAAATTGGAAAGCCAGCCAAGTCCTTAGATCAATTTACCTAGGATGCAAATTTCTTGAGGGCAATAACATGAACCATCGATGAAGCTGTGGTAGACACTGAATAAATGTTCCTGGGCAAGGTTCTTGAGCATAAGATCCATCTAGTCCAGCAGCCCATACACATGGTGGCAAAGCGGCTACCCAATGGATCCTTCAAGCAGAATGGGGGTAGGACCTCCGCCTGCCCAGCTCCTCAGCAACTCAGGCATGACACCTAAAGGAGGAAGCACAGAACCTGCAAGGCAAGTAGCCACTGGTGGCTCTCTCCCTTCTGAATCTGGCCAATCCCATTTCAAAGCCATCCAGATTGGTGGCCATCACCACTTTCTGTGGCAGGAAATTCCATAGTTTAACTATATGCTGTGTGAAGAAATCTGTCCTAAACCTACCAATCAGCTTCATAGGATGACCCTGGGTACAAGTGTTAGGCTAGAGGGAGAAAAATGTATGCACTGGTAATCTCCACATCAGATTATTGCATTGCACTCTATGTTGGGCTGCCCTCGAAGGTTGAAGGCTTGTGCAAAACACAGCAGCCAGATTAATAACTGGGAATAGAAGGTCTGAACATATAACTCCAATTCTGGCCTGTTTGCATTGGCTGCCTGTATAGTTCCGATTACAATAGAAGGTACTAGTTTTAAGCTAGAAAGCCTTACATGCCTTGAGGCTTCAATACCTTCTAAGCTCAATCTACCCAGGCCCTATGATCTGCATCTATAGCCTT